AGTCACACATGTATTGAACGTCGATTCCATCAACAATTTGGATGGGGTTAACCCCCCAACTGCTGATGATTTTCCTATGGTCCTATGGGGATTTCATCAACAATGATGGAGGAAACAGGTCCAATTGGGTGTGGTGTGTAATAGCCCAAATCGTGAAATTGGGTACTGTTTATCATTGGGCATACTACATTATATAAATTATATACTTGTAGATAGACAGTTTCAGCAACGGAAACACGCATTTGGAACCAACAAACACTATCTGATTTTGACCTGAAATTGGGTGCTTGCAACCAACATGTAACTGAACTCCCGCGGATGGGGGGGAAACCACAAAGATATGGGATAATCAAAGATTGGATGGCTGAACCGGCTGAACATTGAAAAGGACAGTCAGATTGTGATCCTTCGGCAGTCGCCCTGTGGCAGGGTTTTCCGGTCGGTTGATCGCCGGGAGAAGCCCGCCCAAATTCCCCGTTAAAATCCTTTTCAAGGACAACATTGATACACTTTGAGTAGCTTAAAACCCACATTTTCCACCAATTTGAGTGGCTTCAAAGACCCGTTTGTGACGATTTACTGAAGATGATTTGGCATTTTCCTATGGGGTAATTCACCAAGACTGCGGAATCTAGTGTCTTAAACTGTTTTGCATTGGGATGGCAGGACGACATCCTAAAAATGACCAGCTCTTTGAGGCTGCTAAATCAGAATTTTGGTTGGTTTCTATCCTCATTCCGGTGGACTATTGGTGGATATTGGTGGTTTGCATCCTCGTAATACTGTATATATCTTGTATAAAATGAACCTGGTAGTTGTGCCAATTCTAATGGGGATCAAACAAATCCCCAATAAAAATATCCCCATTGAATGGGCATTGAAATCACCAGGTGGTATTGATGGGCGCTCTCTTTGTGGTGGGCGGTTCTCTGCAAGTTCGCGTTTGGCCCTGGCGCACTGAGCAGGACTGGAGACCCCATAGCACATGGTAATCATTAGTCACTACTCAGGTATAAGTCAATAAGCTACGAACCAGTGATTTTGTTCTAGGCGCACATATATATATAATATAATCTAATTGTATGTGTACTTGAACATAATTTATTGTAATGCAATGCGATGTAATGCAATGCAACGTCATGTAATCTAACGTCATGTATTCTAATGCATTATAACAATGTAAGGCATGGTAACATATTGCAAGGTATTCTAGTGTATTTAGAATGCAATGTAATATATACATACTGTATGTATAATGGAACGCAATGTAACGCCATGTAACATATTGTAATGTATTGTAACGCATTGGAATGTATTGGACTGTATCGCAACGTGTGGTAATTTAGTGTATATAATGTACTGCAACGTATTGTAATTGTATTGCATTGTAATGTATTATAGTAACGTATCACAACGTATTGTTATGTCTTGTACCTTATCGTAATGTATGGTAATGTATTTATATGATGTATTGCAACATATTATAATAATTAATGCATTGTAATGATTGTAATGTATTGTCATGTATTTCAACGAATTGTAATGAAACTATCATCATAACATATGATAATGTATGGTACTGTATTTTTGTGCATTGTCATGTATTTGATTTTGTCGAAGGAAGTTTAGAAGTCAAACTTCCGACAATATGGAGAGATGAAAAGCAGAGATGGGAAGAGTCAGAGAGAAGAGAAGAGTAGAAGAGAGAAGAGTAGAAGAGAGAAGATCAGAGAAGAGAAAGAGTCAAAAGGAAGAAGACCCAGGTGCGCGAAAAGGTAGGAAAGTCGCGAAACACGGTGTGTTTTCCAATGATTTGTGGCTCCGGAGGGTCGAAAAGTAGGCTCGCTAAAGCGGCGGGTGCGGAGAGATGAAAAAATTGCACGCCGTTGTGGTGCGAAGCACATTTCGAAATCAAAATGTACAAAGCACCTCAGCTTCGGAGCACTTTTAAGAGTTGCGATGTGGAAAAAGTGCACGCCGTTGTGGCGCGAAGCACATTTCGAAGTCAACATGTACAAAACACACCAGCTCCGCACCACTTTTGGAAGTCGAGATGTCAAAAAAGTGTACGGCGTTGTGGCGCGAAGCGCGTTTCGAAGTCAAAATGTACAAAGCACACCAGGCCCGGACCACTTTTGGAAGTTGAGATATCGAAAAAGTGCACGCCGTTGTGGCGCGAAGCACATTTCGAAGTCAAAATGCACAAAGCACCACATGTTCGCGCCACTTTTGGAGGTTCAGATGTGCTTTCGCGTGGCAGGCGCAAGGGATTGCGGACCTTGTCAAAAGTGAGCAAAACGTGAGGGTTTTGTCGCATTTCCAAAAACGATGGCAGGCGTGGGACATTTGAAGAGGATCTGCAAAGATGCATTTTCCGTGGCAGGCGCAGTACAAGAGACATCTTCATCAGAGCTGTTAGGAAGTCCGGGCGGTGATTTCCTGAGAGGGGTTGCATTTTGGAGCATCAGATCTTCAGGTTTGCTGAGATGATTTTGCGTGACAGGTGCAGCACTTTGTATGACCTGGCATCACTTTTTCGTGGTAAGCGCAATAGTTTAGACAGATGGACTGGAAAAATCGCAAAACGCATTGGTACGAGGCCGTCAGCTCTGCACTCAACTTTCCATTTTTGAAGGAAGTCTCGCAGAATTCTTTCGTTTTTGATGTTGTCAACTTCGAAAAATGAGGACGTCTCGCAGAATTGCTTCGTTTTTGATGTTGTCAAGTTGAAATATTGAGGAAGTCTCTCAGAATTGCTGCGTTTTTGATGTTGTCAACTTTGAAAACCTGAGGATGTCTCGCAGAATAGCTTAGTTTTCAAGCTTGCAGATAGACAGGTAGATAGACAGACAGACAGACAGACAGAGAGATAGATAGATAGATAGGTAGATAGATAGATAGATACATAGTTAGATAGACAGATGAGATAGATAGCTAGATAGATAGATAGATAGATACATAGCTAGTTCAAAACCTGAGGACGTCTCGCAGAATAGCTTCGTTTTCAAGCTTGCAGATAGACAGGTAGATAGATAGACAGACAGACAGAGAGATAGATAGATCGACAGGTAGACAGGCAGATAGATAGATACATAGTTAGATAGACAGATGACATAGATAGATAGATAGATAGATAGATAGATAGATATATATAGATAGATAGATAGAATAGAATAGAATGGAATGGAATGGAATAGATTAGAATAGAATAGAATAGATTAGATTAGATTAGATTAGATAGATAGATAGATAGATAGAATAGAATAGAATAGATTAGATTAGATTAGATAGATAGATAGATAGATATATAGATAGATTACATAGATAGAATTCTTTCGTTTTTGATGTTGTCAACTTCGAAAAATGAGGACGTCTCGCAGAATTGCTTCGTTTTTGATGTTGTCAAGTTGAAATATTGAGGAAGTCTCTCAGAATTGCTGCGTTTTTGATGTTGTCAACTTTGAAAACCTGAGGATGTCTCGCAGAATAGCTTAGTTTTCAAGCTTGCAGATAGACAGGTAGATAGACAGACAGACAGACAGACAGAGAGATAGATAGATAGATAGGTAGATAGATAGATAGATACATAGTTAGATAGACAGATGAGATAGATAGATAGCTAGATAGATAGATACATAGCTAGTTCAAAACCTGAGGACGTCTCGCAGAATAGCTTCGTTTTCAAGCTTGCAGATAGACAGGTAGATAGATAGACAGACAGACAGACAGAGAGATAGATAGATCGACAGGTAGACAGGCAGATAGATAGATACATAGTTAGATAGACAGATAGATAAGATAGATAGATAGATAGATAGATAGATAGATAGATAGATAGATAGATAGATAGATAGATAGATAGATAGATAGATGACATAGATAGATAGATAGATAGGATAGAATAGAATAGAATAGAAAAGAAAAGAATAGAATAGAATAGACTAGAATAGAATAGATTAGATTAGATAGATAGATAGATATATAGATAGATTACATAGATAGATAGATAGACAGATAGATAGATAAATAGATAGATAGATAGATAGATATATAGATAGACAGATGGATTAGATAGATAGATAGATAGATAGATAGGTAGGTAGATAGATAGATAGATAGGTAGGTAGGTAGGTAGGTAGGTAGGTAGGTAGATAATCAAGATCAGTAGGTAGGTAGGTAGATAATAAGATAAAGAGAGAAAAAGAGAGAGAAAGAGAGGCGACACCAATCACCTTTCGATCCATCAGTGGCTTCGCTCTGCCATCCGTGATTCACAACAACCAACCTCTCCTATAGGTTTCCTAGTTTTGAAACTTCCGCCACCGCCTTGTGCGGTACTACTGGTAATGTATTGAAACTATTTGAAACTTATGGTAATGTATTGTAACAAATTGTAATGTATTTCATATGATGTATTAGTGTGTTGTAATGCATACATTTTATTAAGATAACGTTGGGTACTGCATTGTAATGTATGTTAGTGCATTGTAATGTATCATGATATCATATGACAATGTATTGCAATGTATTTTAGTTCGTTGTAATCCATTATAACAACGTATTGTAATGTATCGTAATGTATTGTAGTGTATCTTAATGTATTCTGATGTACCATAATAACGTATTGTACTGTTACCTAACGTATTTCAACGTATATCGGCGCATGTTTTTTTTTTTGATTTAAGTTGATACATGGCTCAATGAAAACTTGGAGGCCAACTATGCAGATCTGGTGATGACCTCCTTGCTTCAAGTTGTTCTGCTTGGAGCAGCACCATTGCTCGAAATCGACCAGGCCCGACGCCTTCGATTTGCTGAACGATATTTTATATTTGATATATTTCTTTAGTTTTGATATTTTTCTTGGCCTGCGAGGTTTTGTCTGTTTGCACAACAATATATATATATATTCATTCTTTTTGTTTCGCTTCTATTTACAGATCTTCAAAGAGTATTTGGAGACTTGGGAAACTTTCGCTGAACCACGGTTGACCAACGGATCCACTTGAATGGGCCGTTGGTGGGATCATTGCCCAGTGGGATTTCTGGGAGTAGCCCAATAGCTGGATGGTTTATTTCATGGAAAATCCTATTAAAATGGATGAGGGGGTACCCCTATCAGATTTTTTTCCGTGATTTTCACCTTTTTCAATCAGTGGAAGACTCATTTCTCTGAACCAACGCAGGCCAATTCCACGGAGATCTTGGGTTGGCTTCTCTGTGCAGCAGTCCTTGGCCCGTTCCTCGCAGGACTGGCCGCGATCGGTTTCTTGGCGGGACCCAACTGCCACAAGTTTTTGTTACGCTATGGTAATTTCAGAAAAATGATGATTTACCGCAAATTGTAATTTCACATAACTATGTAATACTGTAACTATGTGACTATGGAACATCAGCGTTTTTTTAGTAGGTAAATCATCAATGGGTCATTTTCCTTAGCCATGGTAGATTACCAGAGAGTATTAGTTGAATATCAAATATCAATCTGGCTATGGGTTTTTGATCCAAATGGGTAGCTGTGCACATCCCGACCTTGCTACTCTTCTGGCGATATTTTGGGATGTAAATTACATGGGCACAGGCTCTTGACCCACAACCAGATAGGTGTGTCTGAAAATGGCGCCAACCTGGGGAAAATGATGATAAACCATTGGATTTTGATAGTACGCTATTTTCAGAGAAACCCAGATCCAGTTGATCCAGTCACTGTACACACGATCTATCCGATCCTGCGAGGTTATTCAATTTGGCGACATTTCCAGCCCAGCAATGTCTTCGGCATGTTCTTGTGCCATCACAAGGGAGGTGCCAGTGACACCAGTGACATCCCAGTGGTGCCAGTGACATCCCATGGGATTCTGTATGGTTACCCCCGTATATGTATATGATATATATATATATATTTATATGTAATTATTTGTATATTATATATATACATATACATATATACACATATATATGTATATATATATATGTATATTATATGTATATATATATTATGTATGTATTCAAGATTTCCATATTGCATTTACATATCTAGCAATCCATCTATTTATCTATCTACACGCATGCATGTACATACACATACGCATACGCATACGCATGACACAGGCGTAGGCATACGCATACGCATACACATACTGCGCACACACACACACACCTATACACTTAGACACATACCTACTTATATATCTGAATCTTGGCCGGCAGGTGCTGGCAGTTTGTGCCGTCTTATGAAGCTTCTGATTTCAAGGCGGGAGCATCGGTTGTTTGCGCTACCTTTCACCAAAGAAACACGGCTGATCGGAGATATCTCTTGGAGAAGTAGAAATTGCCCATGTTCGGAGGATTTGCCGATCGTAGCCAGGTTTGTTCACTACATGCTTCCTTTTTTTTTGGCATTGAAGCCAGCGCGGACTCGTTGTTCGTCTTGTTTCTTAGGCACAGCAACTGCAACGTATTCTTGGACTCGGCTCCTTGGCACCAACACCATGATGCTTGCGGCTGATTCCAGGTCAAGGCGTAAACGAACTCATGTGGTAAACCCAATAGTACAACCCCAGGTTTGGAGGGCTTATAAGTTTATACCACCACTGGACCTGGTATGTATATAAGATAAGTCATGTGGCAAGCTACCTATGATAAAGCAAATCCTGCTGTCGGGGTATAGTTTTGAACCACTCCAACATGTTTTCTTCTTGTACACGTGGGGTATGGTTTAAAGAATTTGGCCACATTTGTAGCGCCAGAATTGGATCAAGGGAAATTCTGCATGAACCCCCAACTTCTCTATCTGGGGATTTTCAAGCATCTACAAACCATGGTTTCCTGCGAATATTCCCTGGAATCAATTCATTGAGATGGGGTTGGTCTGAAAATCGCTTCACCAAAATTTCATCTGTTTCCATCAGGTTCGCAAAAAATACCCCGTGCAAAATCATTTCCCTGGTGGACAGTCTGTCATACCGGGGGGCTCAGGATCAGTTGGAAGATCTGGACCTCATCTTCGACACCATCCGGGCCAAAACCAAGAACCTTTTCGCGCTGCGCGAAGTGCTGTTAAAAATTGGGAAAGTCTCAAATTGATTTTGGGGGATACTTTTAACCCCCCATTTGTATGGCGATATTTATTGGGATATTCTCACCAATCTGATACTTGGGTTTTTCCAAAAATGCTGGATTTACATGGATTTAACCATATTTAGCCTCAATGTATGGCAATCTGAATGGAGAAACATTGTTTCAACTTCAGACACATCCAAATGATGGTGAGGAACAAAGCTCTTCAAAATCATCAGGCAATTTAGGTGAAGTGTGACCAGTCAGCCAGATTTGTAGATGATTTCTGATCCAATTGGGAATCGATCATGCCACCTACCATGAAGACCCCGCGTACAAGATTTTTCATCCATGCGTGCCCACATCGGAGTTCGACACATCAAGAGCTAACAATACACAATTCCAGGCGACATCCAAGGATAGATGAAAACGGGCTGAATTTTAGCCCTTGATCAGGAAATATGCAACATGTACAACGATATATAAAACTTAAAACATATATATATATATACACACATATATGATGTAATATATAATAGGTATGTACTCGTACAAATGTATGTATGTATATATTATATATATACACTATATATATATACACTATATACATATATAATCATATATATATATATACACATACATATCTATATCTATATCTATCTAATCAATCTATGAATCTGCCTATCTATCTATCTATCTATCCATCTATCTATCCATTTATCTATCCATTTATCTATTCATTTATCTATCCATCTATCTATTCATCTACCTATCCATCTACTGTATCTATCTATCCATCTACTGTATCTCTTTCTCCATCTACTGTATCTATCCATCTACTGTATCTACCTATCCTATCCTATCCTGTCCGGTCCTGTCCTGTCCTATCCTATCCTATCCCATCCTATCCTATCCATCTATCTATATGGTGCATTCATGGCAGACATGAGCACGTTCCCAGGAGCGTTGTGGTGGTTCTGTCTCCCGAGCTTTTGAAGCGAATGTGGTGTTCCTCGGCTGTGGTTACTTAGAAGATGATCACAAACGATCGGATTTTGGGGTGCCTCAATTTCAGACAAATTCATTGTGTAAATAAGACAAATATGTGTATATATATATGTATATGTAGATGCTCCGGGTTATCTGAAAGTCGGGGCAACAATGCACAGAAACTGCTGCATGATTGGCTAAGGAATCAAATTGTGCAATTTGTTGAAGGGAAATGTCAATGAGTCCATTTTTTAATTATACTCAATGTATACATATATATATAGAGATACACACACACATATATATATATATAACATATATATATATATAAAACATATATATATATATAACACATATATATATATAAAACATATATATATATAAAACATATATATATATATAAAACATATATATATATGTATATATGTATATATGTATAACATATATATGCACATGCATACATACATAAATAGGGGGTCCCTGCAGGTCCCGGTGAAATCCCAGGTGCTGGTGAGATTGTGACCGCCTTCAAGAACAAGGCCCCTTATGCGACCCTTGTGATGACTCTCACGTCCAAATGAAGAATATATACAATATGTATAGAATATATACTCAACTATACACATGTATATGATATTCTCACTTTTAGGAAATACTTTCTCACCATGTTGTGGAAACTCCCTGCTGCTTCTCCCTTTCAGGGTTCAAAAGAGGGTGTCACATGGCAGGTCCCAGACTTTCATCATCCATCATCCTCCATTTTGCGTTCGAATCTCATGCCCCAGATGACAAATCCCAAACATGTGGCAGAACGAAGCGACCCACCACGTTTCTAAGGTGTTTACTATTCCGGGAAATGGATTGTCAGGTAACCTCGCTCTTGAATAGATTAGTTTTTCCATAGTTTTTCCTTTATTGCCAGATGAAACATGGGGGTATTTTCGGCCAGGTTAGATTTTCAGAACATTATCCTGCACATTACATTATCCTGATTTCTGTTATTCCCCACCTCTAGATTTTAACAAAGGTGCAAGTCCTCCTCCTCGCCTTCCTCCTCGTCGTCCTCCTCTGCCAGCCCCGGATGCAGCGGAGCACACCTGGACCCGAACCGATTGCAACCCGCCTGGACCCAAACACATGCCAGATAGAATGCCAGACAGAATGCCAGATCGAATGCCAGACAGAATGTCAGAATATATGTCAGAGAGAGTGCCAGAAAGACTGCCAGATAGAATGTCAGAACATATGTCAGAATAGATGCCAGATAGAATGTCAGAAAGAATGTCAGACTAGATGCCAGATAGAATGCCAGATAGAATATCAGAATATGTACCAGAAAGAATGTCAAACAGCATGTCAGAGTATATGCCAGAAAGAATGCCAGATAGAATCTCAGAATATACATATGTACATATATATATATATATATGCTATATATATATACACGTCCAGATGGTATGTCAGGAACTATGTCAGAATAGTGTGTCAGGGTGGGGATCACTCGAAGAAAGTATCGTTTTTCTTACCCTGAGCCAGGTCATTACCGTGCCGGTGATCTGCGATGGCTTCATCCAGTTGACTTCTGAGACGCTGGAAGCTATCCCTGAAGTGTGGACAGCACAGCACCGTGGCGGACATTGCAAGCCTTATCTTGAGTGGCAAAAAAGAGGCCTGTTTATCATCAAAATGTGATAGGGATATAGATATTTTTGGATATCCTGGGATATCACTTGACTTGTTGTTTGTCAGGAAAAAAACGAGAATAAGAAGAAATATGGATGGACAATCACGACAGGGATGCAACATAGTGTCACCGGTGCGCAAAGCGATGACCCGGCCCCCCGAATAGATGAACCGATGGGAAATCAATGGAAAGAATACAACACATATGGAGGTTTCCTAAAATGAGGGTACCCCAAAATCACCCAAGATTACTTATTATATATTGGAAAACCAGTGGTTTGGGCTACCCATATTTTATGCAACCCCCAGATTCTGTATAAATCTGTATAGGAAAAGCCGCGTCTATTCATGGAAACACCATAGATGATAGCCTTTCTATCCCTGTCTCTAAGCCATGAACCATGCTGGGAAAGGCAAAAGCAAATCCTGGCCAATTATGGCATCACCATGGAGGATGTGAAGCAGGTCCGATTGAACTCGCTGACGTTTGGTGGACCTTGCCACGCAATGTGAGAAATCTCACAATGCAACACTGACACATAGAGAAGTATACACACACATACTATGTACAAAGACACATACATATGTATATATATATATATGTGTAGATATGAAGATACATATGTATATATATATATAGATATGAAGATACATATGTATGTATATAGATATGAATATACATATGTACAGTCAGTGCCAGAATTATAGAACGGAGCCAGGAGGACAAAAGTACGGTAAAATACCGTACCTTTGTCCTCCTCCGGGTTCCGATTCGGAGCGGAGTCGGGAAATTTAATTATAGAACGGGGAGGAGGACAAAGGTACGGTATTTTACCGTACTTTTGTCCTCCTGGCTCCGTTCTATAATTTCTGGCACTGACATGATATTTACTGCATATTTGTACATATACAATCTATAAAATGAAGATTTAATGAGGATTTAATGAGGATTTGATGAGGAAATGAAGATAAAATGCAGATAAAATGAAGATTTGATGAGGAAACGAGGATCAAATGAGGATAAAATGAGGATAAAATGAGGATTTAATGGGGATTTGATGAGGGAATGAGGATAAAATGAAGATTTAATGAGGATTTAATGAGGATTTGATAAGGAAATGAAGATAAAATGATGATAAAATGAGGATTTGATGAGATAACGAGGATAAAATGAGGATGCTGTAACATGAGGATAATGGGAAATGTGGGAAAAATGGGGGAAAACAGAATTATAGAACAATAGCGCTCCGACAAGAATTATAGAACGACGAGAAAAGCTAGGAGTAAATTCAGATACGTTTTTTTTCTACCTTCCGAGGAAAACAGAATTATAGAACAACAGGGTACGGTAAATAACCGTACCTTCGTACTCCTCAACTTCCGTTCTATAATTCTGTTTTCCCCCATTTTTCCCACATTTACCAGGTGATTTTCTTAGATTTCATGGTGATTTTATAAGATTTCATGGTAATTTTATGGGATTTCACGGTGATTTTCTTAGATTTCATGGTGATTTTATAGGATTTCTGGGACCCCGGAAGAGGTTCTATAATTCTATAATTGATTTTTTCGTTCTATAATTAATTTTTCCGTTCGACGGAAAAATTAATTATAGAACGGGGCCCGGGGAAAATTAATTATAGAACGAAAATGGGAAATGTGTGAAAAATGGGGGAAAACAGAATTATAGAACAACAGCGCTCCGACAAGAATTATAGAACGACGAAAAAAATTAGGAGGAAGATCAGATACATTTTTTTTCATACCTTCCGAGGAAAACAGAATTATAGAACAACAGGGTACGGTAAATAACCGTACCTTCGTGCTCCTCAACTTCCGTTCTATAATTCCGGCACTGACCATATATATATATATTTAGATATGAAGATACATATGTATATATGCAATTGCACTTGCAAGCAGGTCTTTTGCAATATCCAAGTGGGTCTTCCAAGGTGAGCTGCCTGACCGCCCGGCGCCATTTGCTTCCAAGTATCAGATCATCCATGTAGAGTCATGTAGAACCAGCTGGATTCAATAAAAGATCATCCACAATGATTTTTTTTGGATCATCCAATGAAGTTTAATGGACCAAATAGGAACAATCACAATCAACCATGTTGTCCTTCCCCATCCTTTTCGAACCTGCGCCATGCCAATATGGCGTGAAGTTTCTAGCTCCAGCTCGCAAGACGACGAGGACTCCGTGCCATCCAAGAAAACAAGTTTCATTTCCTTGGGTTTTGCAACCTTCCAGGAGTTGACCGAAGACCAGGTTCACTACTTAGAATGTGGGAAGCACTTTGTGGACCATGCTGGATTCTTTTCTGGAATAAGGTTCTTGAGGGTTACTTTGGAAGTTCCACCGGCTCTACTTTTTGGGTCCTTGTTCCATTTAAGGACTGAAAGAGAAGTTCTTCGATCACTGGTCAAGCTATAAGCGGAAGTTCTCCTTCGCTTCAGACTGCAGCTCGGTGAACTGTTATGTTTTCATCGCAAAGAAATATTGATGCGGTGACATCAAGGTAGTGGCACAGATACTCCTTTGATGGCACTTCGAATGCTTTTCGAAGCTGGTGGATTGCCTGGCAAGGTTTCTTACTTGCCCCTAGCCTACAATAGAACTTCTAAAAGAATGGCCATACACCTTTGCCTGTTATATCGTTACAGACCAGGGGATATGTCCATCCATTGGTCCAGCTATGATTGAGGAGTTCAAGCGAATGGGCCGATGCACCCCAGAAGTTTCTCCGGGCCAACTTTCCGGAGGTGGCTGAGTCTCGTGGCTGTACAACGGGGTAAAAGTTTGATTGTTGCGCATGCTGTCTACTAGTCTGGCTTTCCCTGCATCCCCTCCTTAGGTTCCATGAGTCTATCTTCGACATCGGTGACATGACCCACTTGCATCGAAGAGTGCGGTCCTTTGATTTTTGATGGTTCAAACATCACACGGCATCCAAATTCATTGACATACCTTTCAGTGTTGGAGATTGTTTCTTCCCATGCCTACTTTTTTAGGTGGCCGTCTATGCGGCGGGATTCCCGTGCACTCCATATAGTGCCCTTCACCATGGCTCTGCCTTGTTGGACGACGAGCATGCGCAGCAGCTTTGGAAGGTGCTGGATAATTTCAAGGAGTCGTGCCCAGCCGCCACTTGGCTTCAACAGATGTCGCTGCAATCCCTGACTAACCTTACCACATTTTTGGAATCATATAAGGCTGGGATACTGGAGAATGTGATCGGTTTCCGCAAAGTGAGAGATGACGTTCTTCCTGAAATCCAACGACTTCTTCCAGAGTTTCTTGTCTAAATGAATGGCAAGACAGCGCCTTTCGAAGCACAAACCAAACATGATGAAACCAATCGTCCCACCAACTTAGGTATGAAGTGGCATGGGCAGAGATGAATCCGCTTCTTGGAAACTTAAATTAGGAATACATGTTGTTGCCCAACAACAACCTTTGGAAATCTTTGGACCCTGTTAGCTCCGCATGAGGCTTGACTATGGAAGCCCGATATCACGGAACCGTGTCATCATTTTCCTTTTGAGGAGAGAGCTCATGGTGGATGAAGCTGCATCAGATTTACTTGGGTTTGTGACCCGTACTGCTGAAAGCCTACAGTGTGAACCGGAGATCTCTTGGTAACTTTGTTGAATGATGGTATCATTTGTTTGACCCGTAAAACCCAAATAGATCCTACCGTGTCATCATTATTCTATCCTAGGCAAGAGCTTCTGCTGCCTCGCGATCACAAAGCCGTGGTATCCCTCATGAAGAAGTTGAACAAAATGCAGGATGCACACTTTGCCAAACCTCAGCCGCTTTGGTTGCATTATCATGCTCTATCCCCACTCTGTGCCACTTAATTTGCATCTCTACCCATGCTTAGGCCAAAAGCCAAAGGCAAACCAAAGTGGAAAGTACGCCATCGTGACTGGGCAAAGGAGAATAAGGCGCCACATTAATCATTGCAGAGTGACATTGAACCCCATCAGAAAGTTAGAGATGATACACAGTGTTGAAGGTCAATCTTTGTGTTACATAACGGCAGGTCTCAATGAAAAAGGCTATGGGTGCACTGGCCCGAAAGTACCCAGAAGCCGCGGCAATCATTCCAACCAGAAGGGAACAGCAGGCTTGTCTATGGCAAAAGATCAGCAGCCAATCATGGATCCAAATAAAAAACTATAAGAATATATCGGTTTAAACATGCTATGACATGGGGATTAGATGATGCTCGTCTATGTTGCGGGGATTTATGGGGCTCAGTAAATTGAACTATGTATGCGCTTCTGCCAGGCATTGGATCTTGTCATCCAGAAGTTCGGAGAAATCGAAGCGGCGGACACATCTCAAATGCTTGGCAGAATGCCGTGCATCCGAGCAGCCAACATGTCAGATTCTCAATGAAGCCAAGTGTAGCCAGAACATGCCAGAACCAGTTTTGGTGGGATGCTTGGGTACTGCTGAGGCCTTTGATGTGCCTTACGCCCCTCGCTTGCATTGTTGGACAAAACAAATCGGCTGTTCGTTTCTTGACTAGAAACAAACAAAAAATAATCTGACCACACGTGACTGTTTGAGGCCAAATGGCCGGGTATTTGTTGGATGCCAAAGTCGCTATCTGACAGGCCGCTCAGATCACTCAGTTTGCTGTAGTCACTCACTTCCTCAACTCCTGGCAGCACGGTGCAGGAATTGAATCAATGTTGCTGATGGGAGCACCAGTTCACAAGCTGAAGCTCCGCCAGAATACCGATGGAGTTTCTTGGCTTCTATTTGTTTGAAATACCAACTTGTTGATTGGAACACAGCGTTGGACGAACCCTGTAATACCCTCCAATACAGCTGTAATATAGCCATCTCAGGAGATCAGGAAAATGGCTGGAAACGCGATGTCATTGCGAGTGATGGCAGCAGCTCTCTGCATAGTGATTTCAGCTCTCTCAGCAGTCCGACTCAACAAATACTTGAAGCGATAGTTCCTATGTTGATATGGGGCGGAGGTTCCAATTCGAAATTCACATCTGTGGTGGGCTGATTCTGAATCCCTTAGCAAACAGGAGAAAAAAGAGATGGCACTCCCAGAGAGAATTTCAAAGCTTTCATGCCTATTGAGAGAAAGTTATTTCCATGCCTGTTGTCGGTAAGTACGCCATTTTTTACATCAAGGGCAACATGATACAACATCACATGGGATTTGGATTCAGATATTTGCAGTCTCAAAAAGGGGTGGCCAACAAATGCCCAACTGAAACATGATGTGACATATATATAATATAAAACAATATATTATATTATATTCTATTTTATATTATATAATATAATATAATATATAATGTATGATTATGGTATCTGGCGGTTATCATTATATGTTATATTCTTGTCTTTATTCACCGCTCTCCCCATGCCGGTCCTTCATCGCTGGGATGAGAACGACGATGTTGTTGCCAAGCCCATCTGGCGTCGCTATGATGAAACCGAGAGTGGCAATGATTCAGAGAGTGGCCCTTCTGAAGCTGAGCCCCCAAGCAGAATGAGATAAAACATCATTTTTTTATGGCCTATTGACTTTCTTGGGCACCATCTAAAATCAAATTCAAAGGAATCACAGCAGTTAAGCCTAGGTCATCCTACAGCCTCGATGATGATGACGATGAGTCTGACCCTTCATGTGAGGATGGTGGGAGTAAAGATATGACATTTACTTTGCACCGACTGGAATCCCTTCATGGTTTGAGTACGGATGATGAGAAAAGGTCTAGCTACACCAAGAACGGTATGTGTCGGAAGCGTATCCGCCATGTGGCCAAGAACCCTGGATGCCCCTGTGCCTGTAGCGTTCCAGTTGCGGTGCTATTGCGCATCTGCTGCGCATTCTGGTCCCTTGGCAAATGCGCCCAAGATGCACTGCTGTGGACTCTCCAAACAGAGGGGGGGCGCAGAAGGATCAACTACATGATTGAAGGAGTTCCGGAATACAAGAAATCATTGTGGTTACTGTGGTTTCCAACTATTCTTAAAATGATCAAACTTTACTTGGGGTTAATGATGCTTACCACAAGATTTCCCTACATGGGGTCGGCAAAAAAGTGGAGGACATTATGTGTGTCGAGAAGCGTGGCTACGTTTCCTGGGAATTGGGAAGCAGCGCTTGCTCCGAACCAAACGTAGGCACAGAGGAGTTGACGAACGAACCCTGAATTTTGGATACTTGTTTGGTTTGGCAGTATTTGAAAACAATGTGTTGCTTAGTATGGTTCCCTCTTATCAGTTCAATCTATTTTAGCACTGACATGGAATAAATCCCAGGTCAGTCAGCCCGACCTTGTGTGAAGCAATCGAATGCCAACGGCTTCTTCATACATCTGTATTGGACCGCTGGGGAGTCCATGACCACGACTCTCACTGAAATAAATTTGGAACTTTTAAATTTCCTTTGCTGGGGTATAACTGGTTATCATGCCAAACACCCAAGGCATGCCCGCAACAGAGCTCTGGCCTTGCACTGAGGGGCCCTGAGAAATCCTACCTGGAGACCAGCGACGAGAGTCTTCGGGATGAACTGCTTGAAAAACTTGTGGAACAGAAACTGATGGGACCAACCCGACAGATTTGTGAGGGCAATCCAGACAACCTTCCACCGAGAGAATTGCCACATGGAAACCTCGCCAATTTGTATCTTATGTTTGTTGCCTAGTGCAAAGTCATGAATGTGGATGCCGCATGCAAGTCAACTTTTTACCAAGTCGGTAAAAAATGGTTGTCAACCTGCCTGAAGTTCCACAAGAAGTCCGTTCATGCCGTTTGCCAGACCTGCTCAAAGCTGAGGGATTCCATTAGGCAGGCGACTGACTTTGCAGAACACGCTCGACTTTGTGATCTTCTTCTGGGTCACTATACTCAACAATGGAGGGATCGGGAGATTTACTGGCTGGCCAGGGATCGATCCCAGGCCCAAAAAGATCTTCTATGCATCATTGTCGATTCCTACGACAAAGCAAAGGTAACACTTCCAAGATTTCCTGGTGGTAGAACTCCAAAAAAGACATTGTATGAAAATACCAGACGTATCTCGACATATACCATACATCAGTTTCCCATTTTGTGAAATTTTGTTTCAAGCCCGACTAGAATTTGATCCAAATAAATCTGCCCCCGTTCCAAGGTACCCACCTTACGCTGACTTGCGTGATCTGCCACGGATTTGGATGCTGGATGTATCTTGCCTGGGAGGCTATGCCCCTAGGGACAAATTGGACCTGGGAAGTTGATTCTCACCTGCAATTAAAATTGCTTGGCATGTGTTGCAACACCAAATAGTTTTTTTTCCTGATTCAAAAGTCAACAGGCTATGGCCAGGGGTGAGTTGGGAGTTTGGGATCTGAGGTGATGAGATCAATTGACAAAACATGGCAAATCTGCAGATCTGAGGGCAGACCATTGCCTTTTGAGTTACTGGGTAAAGTTTGCTCTTGGAATGATTTGAATGGTTTGTTGCCCCGACCTAGTTTCCAAAACAAAAAGATGGCCGAACACATCCGAGGCTTTGGCTACAAGCCGACAATACGCCAAAAGAAGCTCGAAATTCCTTGGCTTCCCAAATGTGCGTCTTACTCTGCCAACAGAACATGTTCTCTACGTGTGGCCACTACCATTTGGTAGTTGGCCACACTCACGAAGACGTAGATGGAGCATTGTCATTGGTGACAACATGTCTCCGTCAAGAACGCTCCCTGCAGACCCCTGCTGATGTCATTCAGTGTTTGGAAAAGAAATTATCACCAGTGTTTGCAAAGAAAAACATGCTCTTTAGTGTCGAGCTAATTGATGAAGTTTCTTGACTTTTCTTGGTATCCGTTTTTTTGCCCTTTCCCTATTTCCTCCCAGTTCGTTTGTTGGACCATTGGCTCACAATGATCCCGATGGCATAACTTGTGTATTGCTATATGTTCATGACCTAAGGTACGTGACTGGGCCGGCATGATGCCGCATGCAGTGGGACTCAAAAATGCTTATCGAGATCGTGGGAAAAAAGCTGTTGATGACAAAGTGGTACCCCACTCCTTCACCTTCATGGCCCGGCATTCCCTTCCACGCCATGGTGCCGGTTTGCAGTTGAGCGAACGGGTACCATTGCGCCTGCAGCAGGATGACAGGGACAATGACATCTTTGCGCTTACCAAGGTGCACATGAGTGATACCAACTTAAGCCAGGACCCGCTTATGGTTCATCCAGCATCTTTGACCCATGAAACCCAGCACTACTGGAACAGGGTGAACTCTACGAGATTAGTTGCCCGGGCAGTTCTGGAAGATGAGCGAGCCAAAGAAATTGAGGAATTGGCACGAAACATTGAGATGGATTTTCCTTCCCTCCATCGTTCTGTCGCTTTTTACAGAAAAATGTTAAATCCAGATGGGTTGACCCCATACCCGGAAATCAAATTTCTGAAGTGTCCCAGGGCAAACCAAAGGTGGTGCCAAGTGAATCTTGGGGAACGCCCTCCCCCTCCAAAGGCCCACCACTTGCAGGTGGTGTTTCGGAGGGGCTAGCTGGCAGGGTTGTGGTGCATGTCAGGATGTTTCTTGGGCATTGCTTGTGATTTCTTCAACAAATAATTCCCACAAGCTGTTTGGATAGTTGCTACATGTTGTTATGAAACATCTTTGCACCTACAGTTTGCCTGTGAAACAGGCAGATATTTTCTCGAAACAAACGTAGGGGAACACGCAGAGGGGGAAAGAATCTTGGTTTGGAAACTGTCACTTGGATGAGATGAGTGAACTTAGACAATTTGTTTTGCTGCGGAAACTACATTGATGTTGTCGGATCATTGTTTGGCTTACCCAGGGAGCAAAAATGAAGGTGGCATAAGGTGGCAACATGTGATATGTTTCATGATCATCAATGGTTGACATGACCCCAAATCCTGCCTTCCCAAGCTGTTACTTGGCTACTTGGCTGAATCACAGCCGAGCGCCTGGCCGAGCAACATGGAGGATGTTCCCATGAGTATTGACGAGGAAGAAGGACCAATTGCGGAGCTCATCGCCTACTTTGAAACAGTATCTTGGTTGTAAGATATGATGAAGCACCATGAAGATATTAACATTCATATAAATATCTTTCCAAATCATTGCATTTGATATGATATCATATTGATATCGTAAAACCTTGTCATATCGTATCGTATCGTATTGCATCATACATATAATATCAAATAGTATCGTATCATACCATGTCATATCATACCGTATCATACCGTATCGTATCGTACCATATCATACAATTTCATATCACACCATGTCGTATCATACCATATCATACATCTCATATAGCACCAGTTCATATCATATAATATCATTGCATTTGGAATCGTATCATATCATACTATATCATATCATACCGTACCGTATTATACCATATCATACATCTCATTTCATACCATTTCATATCATATCATATCAAACTGTATCCTACCATATCATACATCTCAAATCATTTCATTTCATTTCATTTCATTTCATTTCATACAACATCATATCAAAGCACGTTCATGCTTCCCCAGCACATTTGTGGGTTGTGGTTTTGCCACAAGAAAAAGATAAGGTCACTGCTGAGAAGAACTTGGGAGACCATCTGAATGCTGTGAAAAAAGATCGTATGCAAATGAAGGCTGTTCCTCATCAGCAACTAACGTTGGAACTTGAAACAAAACATGTCAAAACGTACCTTCTCAATAATCTTGCTTTTGTGTTCCTCAGGCGATTGCTCGGTTGGTTCCTCCCCCGCAAGTTGGGGATCTTGCTTCCAAGCCAGCTTTGACAGCGGTGCCTATCGAGTCTATGTCGGAATGCTGGCTCCCGCTCACCGCCTTCGACTACAGTGCCGGAGCAAAGAACGGATGTGGGGTGTTGGAAAAGGTTTAACCTGTTTTCTATACTGATGTCGATTTTCATGAAGAGTAGGTTTTGCAATAATAGTTTACTTGTCATGAGAAAAGGGGTAACTGTAGAATGTTCTGACTTGCATTGCAACCCTTCAGATTTCCCAAACAACAGCCAGCTGTCCATGCACTACAAGGAGTTCCTTAAAGGGTATCGAAGTAGCGCTGAATCGGTCATGATCAAATTTCCGTTTTCAGACGGATCACGCCGACTAGATGATTTTGCTGTCGGCTGCGTGGACGGCTTTTCCAAAATATTGCTGATGATGTCAATTGTGTCATTTGTCGACGAACTCGAGATGAGCCCTGAAGCTATTGCTGCATCCCAGACCCTGACAAATTGCCTGAAGAGTTTTTCCCTTGTCCGCTGCAGCTATGATCACTGTGAGAACCCCCAGAAGCACTTTCTCGAGTCATTGCGAAACTACGCAACCATATTTATTGGACTTTTGTTTCTTTTTTGGTCGATAATATAATATCCTAAAGGTGGATCATCCACATGCTCTTTATTTGGGGAACGCGTCAGTGTCAGGAATTGGATATGTCTCAGCGGAAAAGGTGTCACCCAGCCCAATCATGATCCTGGCGGATATGAAATGTGCCATCGATATCGAGAAACGCCAGACTAGAACTGGTCGCGCGTCCCTCAAAGATTGCCTGAACCGCACTATTGCTGAGTACAATAGGTGTGTCACTGTGAAGAAACACCGGGTGGATGCGCAGCGAAAGCAATTGATATACAATCTGCTCCTTATCTTTGAAGATATGTGCGCAAATGAGAGTATATGACCCCACTCCTTTTACGATAGCCTGAAACTATTATTGAAATTGTTTTATACGTCATGATCATATTGATTATTGAACCTAGGTTGCGCGCCCCGCAAGATGTGCTGGATATGGTCCATGCCCATTACGACAAGTACCGGCATGAAAATTCAGGCCGTATTGCCCTTGATGCTATGCTTTGTTTCGCGTTTCCCTAATGTTCCCCATTTCGACATCCTTGCAGGAGTCCCTTTGGAGATTTTGGCCCTCGACCACTGGGTGCCAGGGGTGGTGTCCCGCCAAGAAGCTCCGAAGTTCAAGAACCAGCAACAATTTCAGGAAATTCTGACCACAACAGAGGTGACTGCGGCTTTGTACATTCTCAGGGCCACAAAGGACAGACTGTAAAAGATACTTTGTATAGACTAGAAATCAAAACAGTTGTGGGACTCCACATGTATGAAGAAGGGCTACCAACCCCAAGTCCCCCACTCCCGTAGGATTTCTCGAGGAAGGCATCCAAAGATGCCACAATCAAGGCCAAGGCTGGATGCTTCTAATCCCCAAATTTGGCCGCCAAAAACCCAATTTATTTCCCGTTTGTGCCAGAAACAAGCGCAATTGAGCGAAGATGATCATGTTCTTCTTCATGATGTTTGTTGCTGCTGGGTATGTTTGAGGGAGAAGTTGGTGCAGTCGTTCCCAACTTCTGTGGTTCAGAAGTACGATGGTCTTTTTGAGAAAGGGTTCTTCGGCTGCCAAGGCCTGTTGATCCATAATGGGTCATGGTTTCAGGGTGGTGCGCCGATTTTTTTTGGCTGGGCACCAAGAAATGTGATTGATTTTTCAAAACCCGTCACAACCAAGGATAGGTAGCCAAAAAAATTTGGCTGAACATACCAAAAAATCATTGGGTTTCCAGAAACCGCGTCGCAAAAAGGGATAGGTAGCCAAAAACTTTTGGCTGGACATAGCAAAAAATCATTGGGTTTCCAGAAACCGCGTCGCAAAAAGGGATAGGTAGCCAAAAACTTTTGGCTGGACATGCTAAAAAATCATTGGGTTTCCAGAAACCGCGTCACAATAAAGGATGGGTAGCCAAATATTTTTGGCTAGGAAAATCAATCACCACCTGTAAGCCAAAATTTGGGTCAAAGTTTCATGGGGTTTCCAGAAACCGCGTCGCAATTTCTGGGTTTCCGGGTGGGCCAATCATTATTTTATCTTAATTTCACAAATTGGGAAGTGATTGACGCCTACGAAGACTGCTAAATCGTGATGGGGTTTCTGGAAACCGCGTCGCTTCTGGGGCCTAGTTTTAATATATCCGGATGTGATTGGTTTATCATATTTCCCCCTATTTTCCCTATCTTCATATATTTTCCCCCAACCGTTCTGTGCCCTCCAAGGAATTTGGACCACGATCTTGGAGTGGTGATGAAATCAGCGGAACCTTTTGACTGGGAGAGGATCAACTTTGTTTTGGAGGCTCTTCTTGCAACTTGCTAAAGAAAGACAAACGACAAAGGTTCTGAGCAATGTGACAACCCAAATCCTAAATAGCAAAAATAGTTTGATCGCAACACATTTGAAGAACTGTGTTTTATCCATTCCTGTGCTGATGTTCCAAAATCCGTGACCGCAGTTGCGGGGCGCAACTGTCGAAAACTTTGTGGCGGAGAGTCAAGACAAATCCCGGAGCGCTCTTGCAAAGAGTTTAGAAGCAGCCTACTTGGCATGGGAAGAGCAACTCAAGGGGGACCAAGCCATGTTCGATGCTGAAGTGATTCGGTCATAAGCTTATCAACTCTTATCATGCGACAGATTGCTTATCAAAATGTTTGGCAGCGTCGTCACCTTTGGATTCTACCCACTGGTTGTTTCAAATTCAGCCAGTTCCAAAAGATAATCTGTTAATTCTAAGGTCAGAACGTGAGAGTGCAAAGAGTCGGGCAAAATTGGTCAAACAACTTGAGGCCTGGTTTTGAGGGAGATCTTTGCGGGTCATTTGTTGGCCAATGGAAATCTTTTACATATCAATCAAAAGTCCCCTCCAAAGCCCTTCCAAGCCTCGTGCACCCCCATCCAGCTTCCGCAGGAATGTCACGACCGAGCCTGGCGCACTGTCCAGGGATTCATGGAGAGCAACATGCAGGTTTTCCACGGCCGCAGCGTGGACGCTGATTCAACTGTCATGCCCCAATTGTTTTCTTGGGTTGATGCCACAATTGATGAGTCGCCTGGGTGCAACAGTCCAGACGATCACTGTGTAGTCCTATTCTTCAACTTACCCGCTGTGGGTGTGGTGTCCGTGGCAAAATGGGACTACATCGTAACAATTGTAGCGAACATGCTGAATCGATACAGAAAGAACTCCCTGGCAATCATAGTGCATGCAAACCGAGCAGCTCAGAAAACCAGGACAGTAGTTAACTCGTGGGATGTTGGAAGCACATGTTTCAAAATTGATTGAATGACTAGTTAACTGTCCCACAATTTCTTTGAATCCCTCAAGATTTTCTTGTCACTATGCCCAAAACAAAAATCAGGTTTATCCCAAACACACTTCGGCTGGCAGGAGTGACGCCAAGGCAGATCCTGACTCCAAGGACGAGGACACGGTGAAGAAAGACGACGAAGATGCAGAACAAGAGGCCGAAGATGCCGAGGTGTGTGACATTCGATATCAGCTTGAGAGTCTTGTTTGCACCCGAACATACCCGAACTTAAATATCTAGTAATTTTTAAGGTATCAGTAATTTGGCTTCCTCTTGGCTGATCAATCATCTCCCATATCCATATATCTTCATCAATCCCTCTTTGTGGGTCTTTCTTTCTTTCACACCTTGCTTCAACTTGCTGATTTTTGCACGGAGGAAATCCTTGGGGTTGAAAGAGCGTGGGTTACGGGTGCGACCTATTACATGGGTTTTTGACACAGTTTCTTGGCCAAAAGTGCATTAAACAAAGTTTCATGGAATAATTTTGCTTGTTCTAAAAAAGATGGTTGCCAAATCTATTGGCTCTGCATCCAAGGCAACCGTGTATGGGTCCCGTGATGGCTGTCTACCTGGACTGGCTTGCATTTCGAAGGACACTGGAAACATTTTCAGGTCATCCAAGGCCATGAAAACCGGTGTGATTCACGAAGTGCACATGCTTCCCCGAAACGAATTCTACAAACCCCCAGCTACTTTGATGCAATAATCATTAGCATTGCTGCTTGGGGTGTGAGTTGATTACATTTAGGGTACGGTTGCAACACTGAGGCAGCCTCTCCTACCAAGTCGAATTTGCCACACTTGGGACGCGCGCTCACCGACATCCAGGAGTGGAAGCAAGTGCCTGGGATTTTTTTTTAGATACAAAGTGCTAGTGCTTGTGCTTCTGGTTGTGTGATATGCTGAGCGATATCTCATGTCTGGTAAGGCACGGGTCTCTTTAGCATTTTTTTCTTAGCACCCACAGGCCTGTTCCGTGTTCAAAACAAGTCAGGCAATTTGGAATTTCAAAAGTACTTTTTGCAGCATGTGAGGTTGCAGCAGGGACGGACATCGTGAAAAAGTCACTGGCAGCATTCAATGTGCCGACGGTGGCCACTACAATCCTTCTGGATGGCATTGCCTACGACGGGTTCCCCGCACTGGCTGCTCTTGAAGATACCTGCCCTAGTAATCCCTCAAAATGTCACAGTGCAATGACTTTATTTTGTGATACTGTTGCCTTTTTCGATTTCCAATAATTTTCTTTCCAAGCTTGCCAAGGAAATTTGCCAAGGGAAAACTGTGGTCTCTGCATCGGTGATGTTGGACAAGCCAGGGCAGGAGCTCGGCACCCGTTTGTCCAACCAGATCTATGAAAGTTGCAGGGCAGGGAAGCTGGAGTTGCAAAATTTCCCAAACTTTGAGCCTACCATCGCCGCCCTGAAAGCAGGTTCTGCTAGGAGAGAGTGCAATGAGTACAAGGTTTGCCGGCAACATGGTACCAAACTAGTTGTCCTTGAGTCTCTGGCTTCGAAGTTTCTCCAAACGGAGACACTTGCCGACCGTGCAAATGACTTGATCAAAGCACACAATGAGATCTACAATGCTGATGGGGATTACATGGCCAGTGACAGGTTTGGGTTCTGTCTAAAGACATATTTTGAAGTGCCACAAGGGTTTCGCAATTTAGAGTGGGTACCTTTCTTTTTCCACATCCATCTACATCCTGCCTTTTCCTCTTGAGATCATTTTTGATTTTCTCCCTGTGTGTTTTTAATTCTTCCGCTCTGGACACTCACACACACACAGACACACACACACACCCTCCCAATCATTTCCCCTTATTTCCAGCTAGTTGCGCAGGACTGAAACTGCAGAGGTCCGAGAACGACCAACAAAGAGGATCAAATTGGAACCGGCCGCTGACAGAATGACCAAGGCTGATTTGCAGAAACTTGAAGACCCGCACTTTGTCATCAAACTGTTCACCTTGGAATTAACATGTTTGAAAAAGAATCGAGCAATCCAGTGATTCGAAATTGCCTTGCGAGGTTGCAGTATATATATAAAAGGATTTCCATTGATATCCCTCTTTTTGATCTGAGGCAAAAGTTTCAGATCAACAACGCAGTGGAGCTTGTCACCAATGGTGCCGGTGATGCCTTGTATCTTCTCTCCACGGTGGCCACTCAGTTCCTTCAAGGCCGAGAGATGTCACGTGGCTGATCTAGCAACACACCAACCAGTCTATGAAAACCATGTCCTGCAAAATCATGCGTTGGATATTCTTAGGATCACACCCCATGACTACATGATACTTTGCTTCCATCTTGGCGCAACAAGTTACAACGTGAGCATGTTAGGCGGGCTGTCCCGCAACCTAGGTTTTCATTTGGAAGCGGAGAGTGGAGAGATGGAGCAGCAACTTGGTAATCACACCAGGGGGACTACTTAAGCCAGGGTACATGGGTTGGTTATAAGAATGTCCCAACATACTTTAAATATCTTTTGATCAAATCGTATGATTGTAACTATTTGTGGTATCTCAAGATTTGGGGCATCGTGCATCCATGGGGATATCCCCAACACGCAACCCAATTCATCCAGTGATCTAAGGAAGGGCGTGAATCTATGTCCGATGCGGACGGGCGTTGGTTTCCGTTCCATGTAACTTCGGACTCTGCACTGGTGATGTTGGAGAAAAAGAATTTACCCGAACACCTTACCTCAATGGGTTGTGTGGATACCACTTGCTCTTTGGGCAATGTTCTGCTTGAACTTCAAGATGCTGGTGAGGCTGGATTCAGCCATCCACTACCTTGTTGTATCCTGTGAGAAAATTTTGTATATAGCAACAAGTGTAGCACCCCAATCATTAATTATTCCTTTAACTTCCTATATTTTTATATTATTTAGCTATCACATCTTCAATGCCCATATGCTCCCATTTATCCAAGCCCCTACAATACCTACTTCCACCCCATCAACCCCGGCCTGTAGGTCAAAGTGGAGCTGTCGCACCACAAGCGCACCGAGAACATGTTCGAGCCCTTGAAGCCATTGGTGTTCCTGTTGGACGAGCCACGGGCGGCAAAGGAGGAGTCGGAGAAGGGAAAGAAGAAAAAGCCAGCCAAACCGGTGCTGAGGATTAATTCATCAACTATGGTGGGATGCTGTATATTTAGGATATGAAAACTAAATGTATCATATACATATCAGTACATAAATCATAAATTATATAATGTAAATATATAGGTTACGCATTTATGTATTTATGTAAAATAACAATGTATATTATACTATTTTGTTTTATTGTAAATAAGATCAGATATATTAATTAATCTTACAATAAAATAAAAACTATTAAACTACAATATGCAATGAAAATACTTTAATATCATATAACATAATATCATTTAACATCATATAACATAATATATGCAAATAGAATAAAATAAGATAAAATATTTTGTATTTTTAAATAGATATATATGACACATATGTAATAAGTAATAATACAGTTTCTAGATATATTACAATAATAATTTCCAATATTATATTTTATATTAAATAATGTGCATATCAATATTGGTTCAAATATATGACACTTTGCTTGTATATTACATACTATACAACAATATACTCTATTATATTATATTGATATATTTGACATAGCATATCAGGTATATAATAAATGTATATAATATAATATAGATATATGTCTGTATATACATATATGTATACTTTAAACATATTTCATACATTGTATAATATTTATTTAATATGATATATAAATTTTATATTAATATATTATTATATAATGTATTTGAAATATGTTCAAAACCAATGGTTTGGTTGGGAAATTGTGCTTGGACATTCCAGTCACCCAGGAAAAAAATAGAGCTGTCAACTACAAAATACCATGCCGACATATTTAGGGCAACATGTTTGCGAATCCATGTCTATGACATGAATGAAAGTGCACTATATTATATTTTTCAAGTCGGATTGCTACCTGAGGTTTTCAACATCAAGAACTTTGGCGCCACCTTGGACATATCTACAGTGAAGCAGTCGGACAAGCTGGAGATAGGCTGGCGCATGAGGCCTGGTATTTCCCAACACATGTCTATGGGATGTGGGCAAGTGCTTCCCACCCTGTCTAAGTCAAGTCATTCTAGTTTGAAACAGCAGTTAACTTGTTTGTTTCAAACCTTGCTGGTGGCTATCGATGGTACAAAACATTACATGATGATATACCAGCCCAACACCGAAATCCAACATGACCCATATTATCGTATATATCTTTGTTGGGGCCCGATGTTGAAATATGTGTTTGTCTTGCCTTATCCCCTCTTTGCACCAGGCTTGACAGCAATGTTGGAGACGGAGTCAAACTATTGGTACCCATCCGACCAATAGCGATCCTGGCTGGCTCTATCGACTTGCCGGCTGGTGACAACGTGCTGAGCCTGATGTGAGAGCTTGTGACCAGAGAAGCGAGTGTTGGCAAGGGGTTTTGTCGGAAGCACCATTAGGATTTAAAATGCGTCAAATAAAGAAGTATAATCTCCTCATATCATCAGAGTAAACATTTTCATACATGATAATTAAACATTCTGTCATTATCCTCTTTGGATCTCTTTGGATGGTCCTACCATGGTGCCAGGGCCCTTACCAGCTAGCAGTAGGAATTTCAGCCCCATACTCTATGGAGTATGCTTTGCAAACTGCATCTTGTGCAGTTTTTTTCACATGACGGAGGCTTGGAAGTACAGTACACTCCATGCCTGTTTACAAGAGATTCGACACTCAACGACAGATCAACATGGCACTTCAAGGAATGGTGGAAAAGATTTCAAATGAGTGTGTCTGGTTTTAGTTCAGTGTAAGCAAACCATGACCCAAGTAGCTGCCTCTATAGGTGATGAGCTGATGTTTTGATTTGTCTATTGATGCTGACTATCTTACATTTTAATGCAGGCATTCTAGCACTAGCGAGCAAACTTGCGGGGCCCCGCCCACCCACAATGGGTCCAAAAATGCCGCCCCGTCATGTTCGAGATGATGATGATGTCAGCAGCTCATGTGAGGAGGTCGCACCCAGAGAGATCTTTCAGCCGCCAGTACCATGGCAGCAGCAATGAAATTTGAGGCAACCCCATCCTTCAAGTTTACAAGTATTATTTAGTAGTTAGTCTTGAAAACCATGATATATTATAATAGATAATTGGTGTAACCCAACCTTGGTCTGGACAGTTCGAAAAATCACTGTTCTCAATTAGCATTGCTCCATCTAATTGGGGTACGTTTCAAAGCTTTCACCCGGCCGAGGCGTTCAGCCTGCAAACTGTCATGCGGGAACCCGGTTCTTCCACCCAGCGCAGTGCTGCCTCGTCAACATCGCTGACGCCGTCAGCCAAGTCCAGTGCTGCCCCTCCTCGGATGGGCCGTTGCCAGGCTCCATTGTTTGGACCGTTTACGGAAATACCAGATTACCATAATATTTATTCAGATGTCTAGTCACATTCATGAATTTCTGCCAGCTTGAGAAAGAATGGGCGCCCTGAAATGTTTATTCGTTTTTTGGGATCTAAGGACCAGCTGACGTGATGCCGGCTGCAATCGCTTCGCCCCTTCCTCCACGCTTTGCTGAGGATTCCTCTTCAGAAACTAAGGTACCAAAAGGCCAGAAGGACGGTCAGAAACCCAAAAAAGGGAAGTCAGGGAAGTCTCAGAAAGATGACGACTGTGAACAGGAGAAAACCAAAGATGAGGAAACAGAGACTTCTGATCCAGAACACACGTTTGAAGGCCATGGCCATGATGAGGATGATGATGAACCTGATGCTCCCAATGCTGGTAGTCGCAAGAAACCTGCGGCCAAAGGCAGCCGAGCTTCTACCTCCCGCAAGAAACCGGCTGCTGGGGTCTCTGCTGGGATGAAACGACCTGCCAGCAGCCAGAAGAAGGTTAAGAACACTTGTGAAGACTTAGGGGAGGCCGGCCCTGAACATCTCAAATATCAAGGGGTCCTGTTCGTTTTCAGGTATTCATTTCTTGGGCGTGGTCATCTGAATTTTCACCATCAAAAAAATATGTTGGATTTGGTTTTGAAAATGTTCAAGGGTCATCCAAACACTTTTTTGGGGCAGGAAGTTCATGAAGAACCCGAACGTCTCCCTTTTCAACATCTCATCGAGGACAAGGACCAGAACAAACCCCAGTCGCTAGTTGCAATATCTCAAGACGTGGTCTTAGTTCACAACAATATTGAAACACATTTTCAGCTTTGATTTTGGGATTAGATGTTATGACTACTGTTTGATTGGTATGATGTGATATATAGTCCTTCCCCATCCGTATTGGCAATCTTTCACAACCAGCTTAAGGAAGTTGGAGGAGTCGGAGGAGCACCTTGAGTTCCAGTATCCCGACAACCAGCTGGGGCTTTATCCGGGCTCTGATGAGAAGTACCGAAAGGTGTCTTGGCTAAATGAGTTCAGTTTATCGTTCAATGAATGCTCCCCCCATGATTCGTAACACCCGCCTCCAAAATCAAAGTCCAACAAATGCTCTGCAGACCTGCTGCTATACAATGTCAGCCACTCACTTGTTATTTCCATAACAAGTCAGGCGCCAACATTCTATAGCAGCAGGCCTGCAGAGGAAATTGCCATGCGTCCTCAGTTTTGGAAATGGCTTTTGCAATCTTTTGGATAATCCAGCGCGTCGACAAAACTGTCAGGAGCAAAACTTATTTTCTTGTGTGGCTGAATTGGCCTTCAATCTCACACATTGGGTGCCAATTGACGAAACACCCCAAACAAAAACCAAAATTAAGTGACATAATTTGATTGGGGAATCGGATTTGGTGGGTGACATGTGGGAACCTATGTTAATATGAACGGTTTTGAATATGAATATATTATGATCGGGTTTGTCATCATGATGATATTTATGTGGTTTGTTTAACGTGTATTATATAGTAATTTAGCTTGGCCTTTTTGCTAGCTCCAAAGCCTTATCCCTTATCCCCATCCTGTATCCGACCTATCCTTTTTACTAGCTACAAATAAACTTTCTGATCCAATTTTCCTGCTCACGCTCAGGCCATGGAAGAGCCTCTGCTGCTGGACCCACCGGAGGTGCCGCGCTGTCCTTCATCCCCTTTGGCCACCCCTCCATGCACGAGACGTGCTGTTGCTACTCCTCAGCAGTCTTTGATGCCACTTGAGACTGCTATGGATCTTCAGCAGCCCAATGGTGAAGGGGGGCATGTCTCCCTCGAGATGCTCCTTGCGACAAAGGAGGCAGTTTCTCAAGCTCTTGAGCTGGTGCAAAACCACATGGAAAGGACAGGGATGTCCGTTGAGGATTTGGATGTGGAGCTACGTGACCGGATGGCTGAGACAAGTGAGTTGCCACCACCTCCCAGGGTGGTTTGCCCTGGGCTTGATGGTGGTGAAGTGTCTCAGGTCGAATCTATGGAGGTGGGTGGCCGCGGTCGCGGCAGTCTTGTAAACATCAAAATTGCTGCTGAATTTCAGCCACGCATGGGTGCTGGAGATGGTGAGCCGCAATCCAGTGTGGAGGCCCATGATAGGGTTGGAACTCCTGAGCCGGACCTTCTGAATGCAGCTGCAGACAGCGATGATGATGGCTACTCGCAAAGCATCCCGCCTACCCAGCCTGAGACCACCCCAGAAAAGTTAGTGAAGAGTGAGGCAGCTCTTAGTGATGCGGAGCCAACCCTGGAGGAACCACCAACGCCTGAGACTTCCGAGCGCTGCACAAAACCCAGGCCAAAGGCCAAACATGCTTGCAAGCGTCAGACCGCTCCCAAGCGCAAAGCAGCCGCAAAGAGCAAACCCAGTGCTAAGAGCAAGGCAGCCGCAAAGAGCAAACCCAGTGCAAAGAGCAAGGCAGCCGCAAAGAGCAAACCCAGTGCAAAGAGCAAAGCCAGTGCCAAGAGCAAAGCCAAAAAGGCAGTGCCCAAGGCCAAGAGTGCTGCGGCCAAATCAATGGCATCTGGCTGCGACAGCAGCAATGGATCGAACCCCAAAAAGTCGAAGAAGTGTGAGAAGCCGGACGATGAAGAGACCGAGTTGAAACGCAAGTTGCATTGTGTAGCTTGATTGATCGCATGGGAAATGGCAAATAGCCGTAAAATTGTGACCCAACAAAATTATGTGAGCCCGGGCCCTGACATCCTGAGGTGTATTCGGCTGAATCCAAGCGCCTTCTGGCGGATGGCATCGCTTCGGCTGCTGAGAGGAAGCTACTTGCCCGAGAAGCGCGAAAAAAGCAACTCAGCTCAATGTGGCCATCAGCCATTCAGCGCGCATGTTTTGAATGTGTCACGTAGACTCGAGATTTGCAATATTATTTTTCCCCATTTTCTCCCATTAATCTTCAGCCCTTCTTGGGGGATCTTGCGCCATTCTGTTGATCCTAGGTGGGCTTTGGAGCATGGCCCAGCCACCAGTGCTGTGATTGCCAAAATCTTGCGAGACTAGTCTTGAGAACCCCTGCTTCAATGCAAACAAGGTTCAAATTCCACCTGCGTTTTGAGACGCAGTCGCCAGCAGCTGGGGTACCGCTGAGCAAAAAAAGGAAGGGCGTGCATCGATGGACAGGATGCATTGGGTCCCTATCATCAAGATTCCCCATGGTTCCATCTTTATCCACCTTTCCCCATCTTTATCCTTTACTTAAGAATTAGCCAACATGTGTTTTCTCATATCTCTCCAAGATCCAGATGCTCAATACAAAGGAGCCAGTTGCCACCATAAAAGCATATATATAATTATATATATAAATACATGTAAGTATATATGTATATATGAATATAATTATATATATATATGTATATAATCATATCTATGTACAGAAGGACAAGATTGTGCCGAAGGATGTGTTCAGCGTGATCTCTGCAGGCCTATGTCTGGCTCCGCGACGAGTTGAAGCCCTTGACGTTGCACCGTTTTGGCCCGGCACAACAACGTGAGGAGCACTGTGACCGATGATGACATAGGGCCAAGGGTCAACATTTGCTTCAATTTCTAGTCCTAGCTAGTCATTTCCTTTGGTATAGAGTGAACAATTTTCTTGAACCTAGAACATGTGGACTTTTTTTGTGACATGTAATATTGACACACTCGGAACACATTTTTGTTCACTTCCAGTATAGTAGATAGATGGTTTACAGTTTCCAAATTACTCAAACGCATTGATTTTGGAGATTTGGGGCTTCAGATGCTTGGACTCTACAGGACGTTGTGGTCGAAATTGTGCAAAGAGCGAAGGTATCCATGAAAGTCTTCCGCAACTCATCACATCCAGATTTCGGGTCTGCGGGTCCAAGGGTCCTACTTGACTCGGTCCGATTGAATTGTGGATACTTGAAATGATCACAACAGAAAGTGGTTTCCAGGTGTGAAACCATGCAGTAACATGAAATCATAATGGAATAGGGCATTTGGTCCCGAAACCTCGAACGTGCCACCGAGGTGCAAATCAGAGTTCTGCAGGGGGCAAAGTGAAAGCACGTATTCTGATCACGGGCTCGGTGACGGATGCAGAGGCCCCATGGGTGAAGCTAGCAGGGAGGTAACTAGCTTTCATTTTTTCCCCGTCCATTTCATGAATCCGATGTTTCGAAACCTCGTTTTCTCCATTGAAACGGCACTTTTGGGGTATCCTCAATTTTTAAGACAACGCCATGTGGTTAAGTGGAGCTGTGTGATGCCTGGAGAATTTTTCCACAGATCCCAAGTCAAGTTGTTATGGTTAGGTTTTCAAATGTTCAGAGTTTTTCATGTGACATATACACCTGAAAATCTGCGACTCCCATGGCATATATACTAATTATAATCATTATAATCATTATAATCATTGTAATCATTATAACCATTATAACTTGATTCTAATGATTAATCATTCTAATCATTACAATCATTACAAATCATTGTAAATCATTGTATATAAATCATTATAGATCATTATCATAACATATATATATAATCATATGTTTGATTATATATGTATGTATGTATATATATATATATGTATATGTATGTATATGTATGTATATGTATGTATATGTATGTATATGTATGTATATGTATGTATATGTATGTATATATGTATATTTGTATATATGTATATATGTATATATGTATATATGTATATATGTATATATGGATATATGTATATAGGTATATACGTATATATGTATATATGTATATATGCATATATGTATAGATGTATATATGTATATATGTATATATGTATAGATGTATACATGTATATATATATACACATACAAACACACTCTATGGATATCCATTTCCACATGCATATAAACACACTGTAGAGCTCTTGACCAGCTACGATTTTCTGGACTAGTGCAATGACGGGGCGACTTTGGCAGGCCTTGGCCACCTTGGAAGTCTTCCAGATCCTGGTCCAAAATCATTTACGCGTGGAATGTGCCATGGTTCGCTCTCCTCAGGACCCAGTGGGAACCCAGTGGGAAGCCGGTACTGTAGGTGCCCGGGGCGACCTATGGCGACCTGGTTTTTGCGGATTGGGAACTTTTTTGAAGATCAATCCAGATTTTTGGGGGTACCTGAGTTGGAGACATCCTTTTTTTGCAACCTAAACCAAACTTTCGAACCCTTTCATGCAGCAATAGCCGAGTTTGGTTGAATCTCTGGGTGATGAGCTGGTTCCTGGGTGGCTTTGGTTCCTTGGCATCCTGATATGAAAAGAATACAGTCAGTGCCAGAATTATAGAACGGAGCGAAGAGGACAAAAGTACGGTAAAATACCGTACCTTTGTCCTCTTCCGGGTTCGAACCTGGAGCGGAGTCGGAAAATTTAATTATAGAACGGGGAAGAGGACAAAGGTACGGTAAAATACCGTACCTTTGTCCTCCTGGCTCCGTTCTATAATTCCTGGCACTGACATAAAATGAGGATAAAATGAGGATAAAATGAGGAAATGATGAGGAAATGATAATAAAACGCGGATAAAATGAGGATTTAATGGGGATTTGATGAGGAAATGAGGATAAAATGCATATTTAATGAGGATTTAATGAGGATAGAACGACGAAAAAGGTTAGGAGTAAATTCAGATACATTTGTTTTCATACCTTCCGAGGAAAACAGAATTATAGAACAACAGGGTACGGTAAATAACCGTACCTTCGTACTCCTCAACTTCCGTTCTATAATTCTGTTTTCCCCCATTTTTCCCACATTTACCAGGTGATTTTCTCAGATTTCATGGTGATTTTATAGGAATTCATAGAGGTTTTATGGGATTTCATGGTGGTTTTATGGGATTTCACGGTGATTTTCTTAGATTTCATGGTGATTTTGTAGGATTTCTGGGACCCCGGAAGAGGTTCTATAATTCTATAATTAATTTTTCCGTTCTATAATTAATTTTTCCGTTCGACGGAAAAATTAATTATAGAACGGGGTCCGGGAAACATTAATTATAGAACGAAAATGGGAAATGTGAGAAAAATGGGGGACAACAGAATTATAGAACAACAGCGCTCCGACAAGAATTATAGAACGACGAAAAAGGTTAGGAGTAAATTCAGATACATTTTTTCTCATACTTTCCGAGGAAAACAGAATTATAGAACAACAGGGTACGGTAAATAACCGTACCTTCGTACTCCTCAACTTCCGTTCTATAATTCTGTTTTCCCCCATTTTTCCCACATTTACCAGGTGATTTTCTCAGATTTCATGGTGATTTTATAGGAATTCATAGTGGTTTTATGGGATTTCATGGTGATTTTATGGGATTTCACGGTGATTTTCTTAGATTTCATGGTGATTTTGTAGGATTTCTGGGACCCCGGAAGAGGTTCTATAATTCTATAATTAATTTGTCCGTTCTATAATTAATTTTTCCGTTCGACGGAAAAATTAATTATAGAACGGGGCCCGGGAAACATTAATTATAGAACGAAAATGGGAAATGTGAGAAAAATGGGGGAAAACAGAATTATAGAACAGCAGCGCTCCGACAAGAATTATAGAACGACGCAAAAAATTAAGAGGAAGATCAGATACATTTTTTTTTTCACACCTTCCGAGGAAAACAGAATTATGGAACAACAGGGTACGGTAAATAACCGTACCTTCGTCCTCTTCAACTTCCGTTCTATAATTCCGGCACTGACCATACACCACGAAGGATGTGTACGACGCTGGCTGCTCACTGCCAGGAGTTGATGGCACATAAGCCATATGCCTATTATTTCGTGGTGCTCTTCTCTCGAGGAATGCTCCGCGACCCACGCTTCGCGCAGATTCTCTTGAGCACAGGCACGGGCCCGTCCCCAGTGACAGGAGGAAAATGCCTGGAGTTAGATCCCAAGGACCTCCAACCTGCACTAGAAATTGGAGGAGCTAAGGAGCCAGGGATGGCCAATATCTCCTACTAAATGGATCTACATGGGGGAGCCAAGGAGCTGAAGTAGCCCAATGACCCCCCATTTGAAATCCTGAAGAGGTGCTGGCAAGGAAGAAGAAGAGGCAGATGAAAGGCATCTTGAGATTGTCACAGTCAGTGCAGACACAGGCGCGGCAAATCCTTGAAATCACTCGGAAGGTGAACCTGTAGCTGCCAGCTTGGTGTGAACAGTGAGCCAGGGTGAACTGACCCGGGGGCCTGAGTGCTTTTTATTGCTTGGTGGTCTGCTATTCGTTTCCCTAAATCCACTCTGATAACAGTAATCATCGGTATCCCCTGATGATACTGGCCGAGGGTATATCAAATTCTCAGACACACCCATCCCGATATTGCTTATACAGCCACATATACATTACATTACATTACCTGACAATACGTTACATTACGTTACATTACATTACATTCCATTACACTACATTCCATTAAACTACATTCGATTCCATTGAAATACATATATATGTAGACATCCTATCATGTCCTATCATGTCCTATCATGTCCTATCATGTCCTATCATGTCCTATCATGTCCTATCATATCATAATATCATATCATATCTCATGTATCATCCAATTCCTTTTCTCATAATCCATATATACATATAACTATATATATATATACATATATATATATATATATACACATATATATATATACATACATAAATAAATAAATAAATAAATAAATAAATACATATATATGTATGTATGTATATATATATATATATATTCATGTTCATTTTCAATTCGGGGCCTGCGGACCTGGTGAGGCTTTGAATTTCCGAGTGCCGAGTTTTACAAAGAACTGGTGCCTCGGCGTGGTTGGGGTAAGCTGAGCCGTGGCTATCCATGTCAGATCCGGCTGGAAAAAACATCACAACTTGGAATACAGCATGCCAGGTGGGAACTGGTTCGCAACACTGGTTACTGTACTTCATACTCTAAGTTTTTTTTCCATGTATGATTGTTGATACATACCATGACTATTGAACAGTTCCTAGTCCTTAGGAGCTCAATCACCAATTTCTGCTGGTTTGGCCCCACTTTTGTTGTAGACGATCCTCTTTTGTTTCAGACATGAATATAATATAAATGAATAACAAAAGCATATCTTCATCTTTTCCAATGTGAATATTAATGGCACAGCCATGTAAAGCCAATCATCGACCATCCAAAAATATCCGAAAATTGGGTTTCATTCTTAATTAGATAAGCCTATTATACCTAATTTTGGCTTCATCAGGTTCGCCACACGTCTCCCCATGGTCAGGAAGTGCAAGGTTTGGGCGAAGGTCTGGGACCAGAGATCGGACCCAGCCTGGCGAAGGCCGTCACCATCTGAAGCAACCACTGGGGAGTCATTCTACATCATCCATCATTATCCCGAATTGGGGTATAGTAAGGGTATAATAAACCTATCACAATTGGGGGTGTTTTTTTTAATGATTAGGTATAGATGTATACCACATTCCTCCCAAAATGTGTCCCAAAATGGGGCACCAGTTGGAGATACCTGTGAAACCCATGAGGATATGATTTATGACAAAGCATGAAATAATGGAAATATCGCGGTATAGAATATACCATTTTATGGGAATATAATTGGATACACAACACATATTACATATGGATTTGCCCACCCAAAATGGACATTTGAATCGGGGAAACTGATGATAATTTGATACAATGTGGGTATCTTATTTCGGACACCGTTATACCTGCTTTTAGATATGGATCTGTATATAGTATCAATGTAGGGAGATGTGAGTACATGTTTACATATATGACACATGATGTATGACATGATATCATGTGTGTTGTATTGTTCAGATGATCCAATAGATATACTTTGTTTGTAGCAGAAGTGTGTCTATATATATACAGACATATTTGAACACTATGCGCATACATCTACAGTACATCTCTGAATATGCAGATATGTTTGAAAGCTCAAAAGGCAGCAACACCAGAATTCTGCACCCATAGCACCTTCCGACACACTGAAATGACGATTTAACACCATCTGTAATCCCAACTACAGTACTGTACTTTTTTCAGTCACTGCAGAGTCTATTGAACATGTGTCAATAAAACACAACAACACAACAACACAACAACACAACAACACAACACAACAACAACAACAGCAACAGCAACAGCAACAGCAACAGCAACAGCAACAGCAACAGCAACAGCAACAGCAACAGCAACAACAACAACAACAACAACAACAACGCAACAACAAAGCAGCAACAACAAAGCAGCAACAACAAAGCAGCAACAACCAGTTGGCTGGTGTTTGACCAAGCATCTTTGGGGCCTCTTCAACCCCAAGGATATTAGGGCTATGCGCACTTACCCATGGCGCGCCTCTTTCAGATGGCGTCATAGCTTTTGAACCACCGCAGTATGTGCTCACATTTCCAAACCATACCCCACCTATCTCTGTACATATGTATATATATATATACATATGCATATATACATATATGCCTATATACATATATACATATATACATAGACATACATATATATATATATGTAAATATACACATATATGTATATATATATATGTCTATGTATATATGTATATATGTATGTAGGCATATATATATATATATATGTATATGTATATATATATATATGTATATGTATATATATATACATACAGTAGATGCATAATTTACCTCTTGGGGTATTAAAGTCATTCCCCCGGAGTCTTTTTACATCCGCCCTTCGGTTTTCAACAGCTTGATTCCCCGAATTGTAGGGAAAACAGGCCCCCCTTGAGTCTCTCATTTATGACTGTTTTCCTCTATGGAAACCACCATTTCTTGGTGAACAAAAAACCCACCGCGCAGGCTTACCGCGCTTTGCTCAACGTCCTGGCCTTGCCGCTGTCTCCCTTGGGATCTGAAGGCGGAGCTCCGGGGATACCACGGTGACGACCATATAGAGATTGGAAGACGATCACTGAAAATGGGCCATACAGCACCACTATTATTGGGTTCCTGGGTACTACTCAATTAGGAATTTGCAAAGGCCCACTAGGGACAGGCGACTCGCCATGGCTAGATGGCCAATGGGGACGATTGCTGTTGTCATGAGGATCATATTGTCCCTCCCAATGTCGGAACGCCTGTGAATGAACGGGTTTATATTCATGATCCAACCAAGTCCCTGTTCCCTCCAATTCCCCTGAAGTACTCTGACTGTGCAATGGACTTTCCGGAACATGAACTAGAACTGGTGGATTTTCATTATCAGTCAGGCTACCCATTGGAAAAAAAACATGTGGCTATCGAAAACCAGTATTCACTATGTTGGTTACAGGAAATTTAACAGGACCCCACCCCATATTTCATTGGAAACCATGCATTTCCGGAGATCTTCCCCATCAATCCTTTGAATCATTGGTCCATCCCCAGCGGGCGAGGTCTGCTGGAAAAGCAGGTCTCCGAAATTTCTCGCCGCTTTCGCCGCTATCGGGACCCGCTGAAACATCGAATACCGTGGTCTTACCATTTTATCATGTTTTTTTCTACGAACATTGCGATCTCAAAAGTGGTGTATACAAATTTTTTGGACAACTGGGACCCGGTGACTGGCAGAACCCCCCAAGCGGCTGTCGGAGATGTTGGCTACGAATGGATCTTAGTCTTCCTACCTGTAGTCAGCATAGTCATACTGTGTACTGTCCATCTCAGTTGGGAGAAAGCGCACAAGTTGTTCCTTCTGGTCATATTTCCACTCAGATCACACACATTTTTTTTGTTCAAACCCTGTTTTAAGTGAGTAGATCCACTTTTGCTTGCTTAACATCCCTAAAAAGTTGGTGAAGATCTTGACCATGTCCTCGGTTCTGAAGTTCTCTCTGTTTTCTCACTGCAGGATCCAGCCTCTGCGATTGCCATGGACAACAATGAAGATATGCAGCTGGGGATGAGTAGCGCTAGGGTGTCAGGCTTTCTCCAAGGAATTATTCGTGTGGTAAACCCACTAATAAACTACCATTTCATACCATTTGGATATATATATATGTATGTATATATATATATATATGTATATGTATATATATATATGGTCCAGCGTTCCAACCCCCCTCCCCCCCCGGCCATGGTCATGGGTCAGCCATAGTACTGTCCCCCTCCCCCCCCTGTGGTGTGGTGGGGGTGTGGTACTGTCCCCCTCCCCCCCTGTGGTGTGGTGGGTGTGTGGTACTGTATGGATGGTAGGTATGGTATGTAAGTCTGTTGGGTATGGCATGTTTGATATGACAGTATGTATGGTCTGTATGGTATGTATGGTTACTATGATGGGCATGGAATGTTTGCTATGGAAGGTAGGTATGGTATGTATGGCATGTATGTTTGGTATTGTATGTATGGGAGGTGTGGTAATTATGTTTCATATGTATGGTATGTGTGGTATGCATGATAGGTATGATAGGTATGGTATGTACGGTCAAAGTTCGTATGGTATGTATGGTATGTATGGTATCATTGGAATGTATGGTAGGTACGGTATATGTTAAACACATGTAGTGTTGTGAGAGTACACAGGTAGTAAATAGGAAGTAGATACATAGCACATGTATATATGACTATAGGTAGCACGTAGGTACTTTGAGGGAGTATGTGTGCTACGTAGGTCGCTAAAAGGTAGCATGTACCTAGTAAATGCGAGGCTGGTAGTCAGAAATGCTGCAAAGACCTAGCAAATAGGAGGCTGGACCTCAGAAATGCTGCCAATAGCTTGCAAATAGAAGGGAAGGGGGTGCTACTTGGGGACCCATACCATGGGGGGGTGTGTGGGGGGGGGTAGGCACACGGAATACGAGACCATATATATATATACATATATACACGTATATATACACACATATATATATGTATATATATATATTAGATAGATAGATAGATAGATAGATAGATAGATATATATACATTTGATGATATTCGTAATATTGGAGATGGCTGATTGTATATTGGCTTTACCACATTATTTGGAGCATCTTGGAAGCGAAATGACCCCACTCTTGTGGAGGTCTTGAGCCATAAAACGAGTTTCTGTTGTCTGGGGTGTTGGAGCAACCCTTTGTGTAAGCATGGATTGGTAGCGCAGTTCAAACCAACAAAACACACACATATATATATAATTATATATATATAATTATATATATATGTATGTATATACATATATAATCTACACTTCAGCAAGAAATATTCGGGGTTTATCCACGTGAAAGGGTGGTGTCTAGATGAATAGTGGACAGATTGGATTGTTTTTGTTAGGCGGAGAAAATGGAGATTTGATGAGCAAATAGTTGTGGCCATCCTAATGGCATGCCCCGTACTGTGGTGAGCTAGATGATCAAGGATTTTGTTAAGATATCCTACGATGCAGGATGCAAAAGATATCAGTTGAACATAGAATAGATTTGATACACCTCTGGAAACTATGAACACTTTATTATGCATGCACACAATGCTCTGGAACGAATTGATGTAGTTGAACTACCCCCTATTTGAGAGGGAACACTCATTTAGGGCTTCCCCCTGGCAGTGGCAAAGCTCCTTACGCGGATTGTTGGGCACTTCTTTCCCAGACCTGCCCAGTCCCCATGTTCCGTAGCAGCTTGAACCAAAGAACCACTTCACCCACAGTGTCTTAGAACCCTCAGATTCCAAAAGTTTCTGAAACCCGCTTTTCCATGCTTTTCCCATTTGAGTGGGTCAAAAAGACACCATTTTCATCCATTTGAGTGGCTTAAACTACCGTAGATTTACCATGTCGTGCCACGGCGCCGAGGAAGCACGGTGGCGAAGGCGTAGACATGCAGCTCTTGGAGGCAGAGCTGGCGAAAGAGGCCGGCCCTGGGTGGGGCAGCTCTGGGAGGCAGTTTCTTTATCCAACAGTTGATATGGGAATTTCATATGCTTCAATCAACCAGTATGGGGATTTCATGGGAGATCGGGAGATCATAAATCAGATGGGAGTCATCGAGTCAATATGATCTGTGGGCTCGGATCATCGGATCAAACGACCTATACCAGTGATTTTGAGGTGAATAGAAGGCTATATAGCCATGTGCTATGGTCAAAACATGGGATAAATGGGCAACACAATCCATGTTTTATCCATAGCACAGATGATAAGCCCTAGTTTTTTTTTGGTTTCTTAACCCGTACAAAGTTAGCTTTCTGAAAATGGGGTACACCCGGGCATGGCCACTTGAATGAGAACCGTGACAATAAAGCTGTGGAATTGGGGATCCCCACATTTTCACACAAATCAGTATTAGTTACGAAACATGGTTTTAATTATGATGTACTGGGTTTTTAACCCTGACTGTAACGGCCAAGTTAAGCCTTAAACTTAAACTTGAAAAACATTTGGGAAACTGATGATGGTTGAGGATAGTTGCTTGTGGTCGATGGTTGATGATGGCTGATCGCTGGGTTATAGAACCATCGCTTTATAAAATTGATTGGAGATTATCCATGACTTACGAATCACCATGAAAAACAACATTTTTTTGGGGGATTTTATCACGACCGACGGAATTTTTATCATGTGGGACACATAATCATCCAAGCTATTGGTCGAAAAGTTCATGATTTGCAGGTGCAAGAGGGGAGCCGCTTGCCACCGACGACACCTGTGCTTCAGAGGGACACTGCCTGTGTTGGGTGCAACAAAAACGTCACGGGGGGTTCCTAAGTCATGGGGGGACTCCAAAATGGTCATTTTAATTGGGACACCAATTGTTTTGGGGTCTTTCCCTATTTGGAAAACACTGAAATCTGCCAGGGGGGTCAACTCCTGTCCTTTTGCGGCAGCTCACCTCACAGGAGGAAAGTGATACTGCTTCAGCCCATGCGGTGAGCATTGCAGAATTCTGATCCGTAATGGAGATGACTTTGGTACTTGGATCATGAACCAGTTGGCCTTCGGTTGGAAGGGCACTAGTCCAGACTCTCACCTTTTTTTCCAGCCGTGGCTAGCAGTGGCAAGTTATTGACCTGCCAGTCTGAAAGCAAGTTCTCTGGACATCTTGGAAAAAGCAAACAGCGATAAACAACCGTCATTTAAAACAGTAACACTTCTCGCTGAAGCAATCCAGATTGGCCTGTACATTGCTAGCCACATCACGGCACTACCCCTTGCTACGTTTTTAGAGGACCTTGCAACCTCTGTCACTAGATCTAAATGTCTTGGTACTGCATTTTTTTTTTGCAGTCACCCTTGGAGTGCAGTCACCCTTGGAGTGAAACTGCTAGGTGCGTTCCGTGAACATGGAGCACCCAGCACTCACCAAGAAAAGGTGATCTCTGTGAGGAGTCCGTCTAGAACGAAAGATGGCTGTGGAAAACCTTCGATTGCTGATCGGGATGTCCGTTTCTGTCCATTGATTTGGGAATGGATCACACCATTTCAGACCCACTAGTGGTGACACATCCAACAGATTCCAACTTTTTGAGGCACCCAGTCTTGACAACTCGTTCTCAAGATCTTGGGCCAATCTTGGGCCAAAGGGCCGGGCCCACGGCTTGGTTGATCAGTTGATCATCATTGTTCCGTTGGTGTTTGGGGCATCGGCAAACCCACACATCGCAACGATTAGACAAATTACATCCGAAAAATATTCAGATAAATGTGTTGAATGATTATCAGTGACAATCCTATTTTTACTCCCCATTTCTGATGGTAAAGACACCCGATTTCAATCTCCATTTGGGTGGTGAAATCCCCCCATGCTTTGCCCGGCGCCAGGCAATTGTGGAATCGAAGCTCTGCACGGCCATGGGCAAAGCCTTCAATGCCAGGTGCCCGGCGCCGGGAATCCATCAAGAAGCTGTGCTACAGATGGGTGACCATGGTGATGTCATTAAATAGTATCAATCTCTTATCTATCCAGTGGAGCGGTGAGCTCAGGGCTATCCAGGCTATCCAGGCTATTACATCATCCCATCGCCATGGGATGCCAAGGTGAGGGCCAGGTCCAGGTCCAGATTGGTTCATGCTGGGGAAACGAGCCCAAGATCTGTCAGCTTATTTCCAATTTGGCTTGTTCAGTCCTATCAGAGGTACATGATAGATATGATAGCCACAAGGGGAATAACCCTGGATCGTCCTAGTTGGTCATTGCTGAGTGACTGGAGTGCCCACTTCTCAATGGGATAAGCCAAGAATTTAGGGCTTATTCACCAGGGCTATTTAATGCGCTTACGATTTTGGAGATTATCTTCCAGTTATTAAGAATATTACTGTATAGAATGTACAGTATTATATATATATAATTATTTATATATATATCTATAAAATAACATATTATATATAATAATGATAATAATGATAATAATGATAATAATGATAATAATGATAATAATGATAATAATAATGATAATAATAATAGTACTAATAATAATAGTGATAATGATAGTAATAATAATAGTAACAATAGTAATGATAGTAATAATAGTAATAATAGTAATAATAGTAATACTAGTAATAATAGTAATAATAGTAATAATAGTAATACTAGTAATACTAGTAATAATTAATAATAGTAATAATAGTAATAATAATAGTAATAATAGCAATACTACTACCACTACCACTACTACTACTGCTGCTGCTGCTGCTACTGCTACTGCTACTGCTGCTGCTGCTGCTACTGCTGCTACTGCTGCTACTGCTGCTACTGCTGCTACTGCTGCTACTGCTGCTACTGCTGCTACTGCTGCTACTGCTACTACTGCTACTACTGCTACTACTGCTACTACTGCTACTACTACTGCTGCTGCTGCTACTTCTGCTACTACTGCTACTGCTGCTACTGCTGCTACTGCTGCTACTGCTGCTACTGCTGCTACTGCTGCTACTGCTGCTACTGCTGCTACTGCTGCTACTGCTGCTACTGCTGCTACTGCTGCTACTGCTGCTACTCCTACTACTACCACTACCACTACCACTACCACTACTACTACTACTACTACTAACAATATTAATGATAATACTACTACTAATAATGATGATCATAATATAGATATAAATGCACATGTTTGTGGATTCTTTGGTGATCATCCCATACCATTCCCTCGTTCGGGATGTAGCCGGGCGCCAGGGTCATCTACGGGGATACTGACTCGGTGATGCTGACCTTAGGCGACTCGGAGCGGATCCACATCGCCATTGCTGACATGCGATGTGTACAGTATAGTGATGTAATATTAAACATATATAGACGAATATATATATATACAATATATATAAATATATATATACAATATATATATATACATGTATTGCAGGTGTGAAGAAATATGTTTGCATACATATATGTATCTGTAGTTAAGTAAATACATTCATAAGTCAACGCACAGACAGACATACAGATATCACACACACAGATGATAGAGACACGTCACACGGAAATGCTGAACGACATTCGGTGAGGTGGTGCCAGCATGACGGAAGCCTTCTCCCTTGGGAAGGAGGCCAACAAAGGGTAGATGTGGACCTTTCAAACGTTGGTTGTCCTAATTCCTAAAACCATGGGCTTTCCACAGGTTTTCCAAAGACTTTTAAACCTTCTTAAAGATTTCAAACCTCAGTTCACCATTTTGTGAGGACAATGAATTGGGTTATCTTCTCATTCTGAGACGAATTCACGTATGCAACTTGGTCACTCAGTTCTCTGCATCCAAACTACATACTCTGCCTGACCTGCAAAGTGACTCTTTTCAACCTTGTCCCAGGTGAATCAGGATCCAAACCTCGGAAACGGTTCAAGCGTAGCATGGAAAAGGGCAGTTGCTGCCAGTTTATATCCAGCAAATGATAGGTGAAACCATTTTCTAGACTATAATTGTATGTTTGCTTCTGAGCCAACCACTTTATACTGTATACAATAAGTATATTACACATATTATCTTACCATAGCCTAATAGCTGCATCCTGCAGGCTGCTGAGCTTGTGAGTGCGGCGTTTGGAGCACCAGTGAAGATGGAATTTGAGAAGGCCTTGAGAACTGGCGGCAGATCTGTTTTCCCAAGGAGATATCATGTACAATGGGGATATCATGGAAATACCATTGGGAATACAATGGGGATATGTATACACATACATATCATTAACCATGATTGAACGAACAAACATGGAGATATACAAGGCCATATACAACCAACCAGAATGGGATATACAGAGGATATGATTCCATAACCAGCCATATGATATTTGACTTTGTCTCAAAATGGGGGGATGCCCCAAAATGACAATCTCAATGGGGAAATGTTCGATTCCACCCCCGTCACCTGAGTTTGTCTCAAACTTTGCGACTGATTCACCCACAATATATGGCGATCTTGATTGGGAAAATGATTTGATAAACCACATCATCCATATAAGCATATCAGCATATTTATCTAATCTAATCTAGTCTCATCTAAGCTCATCTAATTTAATACAATATATTTTATATAATGCGTAATATATATAATCTATGATATATAATCTTTGATATGAATATAAAATACATAGTATATACAATGTTAAAAATATTAATATAATAAAAAATATATAATATATAATATATATATATAATTTATTAATATATTATATATTTATTACATACTATAATATATATTTAATATATATATATATATTTCAATATATATAATATAACATAATAAATCTATTGTGTAATATATATATATAGTATATATAATATATATATATATATGTATAAAATAAAATAAAATAAAACTATATATATATAATAATATAATATATATATATTTAATATAATATATATAATAATATAATATATTTATTTAATATAATATATATATAAACTATATATACATTATATAATATAGATAATATATGGAATATATATAATATATATAATAAAATATATATATATAATATAAACAAGATATATAATATATAATATATATAATATAAATAATATAATATATATATATATACATATATATATGATATGTAAAATATTATATATATTTTATAATATATATAATATATAAAATATAGACACTATATATAATATATACAATTTAAATAATATATATAATATATATATATATATATATCATATATATCATGTATATTTTCAAAATATTTAATATATATGATATATATTTTAATTTGTGTAATATATACAATGTGTGAAATATATATAATAAATATAACACATATAATATATATGGTGTATATGATATATTTGCCATATATGATATATATGATATATATCATATATAATTATATAATATATTATATATATTATATATCATACATAATATATATATATATAATATTATATTATATATATATTTAATTTATAATATATATTATATATAATATAATATGTGCGTAATATATAGAATATGTAGTATATATCATATATTATATTTGATATGAAATATATGTAATATATTTAATTTACAATATATATAATTTATATCGTTAAAATATAATATAATATATATATATATCTAATATATATATAATATCTAATATATAAATATAATATAATATATATAATATAATTTATATAATATTTAGAATATATATAATATATATTTTCTATATAATATATAATTTATTTTTCATATATATAATATGTATCTGTTAAAATATATCATATATATGTTTCTTAAAGTATCTATAATTTATAGAATATATATATGTAATATAAAATATTTTAATATATATAATACAATATTTATATATATAATATATATTTTTTTTTAAATATAATATAATATATTTATATATTATAATATAATATAATATACATATATAATACATTATATATATATATTTAATATATAATATATACAATATATATATACAGTATGTATAATATATAACATATATAATATTATACTTAAGAAAATATCAAATATATAGTAAATAAGATATACTTTTTTTTATTAAAAATATATACCTTATTTTAATATAATATGTAATATATATATAATATAATATAATATATAATAATATAATATATAATAATATAATATAATAAAATAATATAATATATAATAATATAATATATAATAAAATAATATAATAAAATAATATAATATATAATAATATAATATATAATAATATAATATATAATAATATAATATATAATAATATAATATATAATAATATAATATATAATAATATAATGTATAATAATATAATATATAATAATATAATGTATAATAATATATGGTCACCGACAGAATTATGGAAAAAAAAACGTTCAACTTAGACAGGCGGCGCCTTTGTCCGATTTTTCCATAATTGGATTTTTCCCCATAAGGGTTCAAAATATCCCGGATGTGATCCGAACCTTTTTTTTTCCATAATTCTTGGAGGTGGCCATTATTTCCATAATTGATTTTTCCTGTGAAATCAGGGGGCTAGGGCAGATTGACCGGTTTTTCCATAATTATTTTTTTCCATAATTATTTTTTCCATAATTATGTTTTCCATAATTAATGTTTGGGGCTCCACCTGTTGGACATGTCATGGATCCACAATTCAAACCCGTTTTTTTTGGGGGTTATGGAAATATGTATGCAAATGCAAGTATGTAGTATCAACCCAATATTTTCTATAATTCAATATTCCCCCTTAAAATGCATTCAAATTGCGAATCGATGGTAATACAGTTACCGACAGAATTATGGAAACAAAAATAATTATGGAAAAAATAATTATGGAAAAAAAAAGGTTCGTAACTTTTCTGTCATAGACAGGCGGCGCCTGTAAATTGAAACGTTTTTTTTTTTTTTCCATAATTCTGTCGGTGACTGTAATATATAATAATATAATATATAATAATATAATATATAATAATATAATATATAATAATATAATATATAATAATATAATATATAATAATATAATATATAATAATATAATATATAATAATATAATATATAATAATATAATATATAATAATATCATATATAATAATATAATATATAATAACTATCATATATCCTCCTCTCCTTATCTACTCACGATCATATCTACTCCTATCCTCTCTCCTCATCTCCTATCTCCTCCTCTCCCTCTGATCATATCATATCTACTACATCCTTCTCATACTATCATATCGACTCCCTCTCCTCTACATCCCTCTACCTATCTAATCATATCCTCTCTCCTCCTCTCCTCTCTCCTACTATCCTCTCCTCTAATCCTCTCTCTCTCTCCCTTTTTCCTCTCTCCTCCCCTGTCTCTCTCCTCTCCTCTGTCCTTCTCACATCTCATGTTACTATATCACCCCCTCCCTTCTCCCTCTCTCCCCTCTCTCTTCCTATCTCCTGTATGATATAATATATATGTACTATAGAATAAATCATATATATATAATGCAGATATTTATTATATATAAGATATATAATGTAGATAAATATTATATATAAGATATGTAATATAGTATATTATATATAGTATGCAATATATAATGTATATATATATAATTTAAATATATAATATATATAATTTAAAATATTATATATAATATGTAAAATAACATATATAAAATTGAATATATAATATATAATTTACAATATTTAATATATTATATATAATATTTAATATTTAATATATAATGTATTATATATAGTATACAATATAAAATTAATAATATATAATTTATGATTTATAAAATATTATATATTATATATAATATATCCATCTATCCATCTATCCATGTATCCATGTATCCATTTCTCCATTTCCCCATTTCTCCATTTCTCCATGTATCCATGTATCCATTTATCCATTTATCCATTTATTCATTTATCGATTTATCGATTTATCCTTTTATCCATTTATCCATTTATCCATCCATCGATCCATCCATCCATCTCTCTGCATGCCTGGCCAGAGCATCACTTCTCCCACCGAAGGATATGACGCGGGGCTGCTGGGAGCGTGTCTCTGATAGGTCTACTTTCCCTTCTTGCTCATGAGTGTAGCACCAAGACCGGTTTGCCGACGAAAACATGGTTCCCTGAAAATAGGTCCACGCAGCTTCAAGGGCTCCATTGTCTGCGTTTTTAGTATATTTTCTTCTCAAGTCATTGTTTTTGAACACACGGGTATGGTAAATGCAAAATTATCGGCCCCAAAAACGGATGATTGTCATAATGATTTCATACTCAAACTATCTCAAAATGATACATTTTTTTTGTGGCTTGGTACCACATTTTTGACCCATCCCCAGGCCCATCCCCTAATCTTTCCTTCCTTTGTTTTGCTTGAAGTTGACCGGAAGTGGGGGGAAGGACAGATCTTTCATGATATTTGCAGAGTCTTCTAATGGTGGATGCATGTATGCGTACATGAGACATCTCTCTAATATAGATATGCACACACTTGTATAATCTGGCGTATGTGTACATAGGTCAGTGCCTCGATCGGGCCTACGTTTTGGCTCGCTTGGGACTACGTCGGAGATACATGGCTACAGTATGCTACAGTATCAATAGGACGATTTCAACAAGATAAACCCTAAAGGTGTGTATCCAATGGAGTTAGCCCTAAAGGTTGAACTCCACATCCCTGAATGTCGTCCTAAGTGATCCAAAAAGGCGTCCTAAGTGATCCTTTGACCGTGTAGATATGTTCGCACTGGCAGATGGTATACCCTGTCTCGGACGCTGAGACAAGAAGCGCTACGCTGGCTTATCCTTTGGCTCTGTGGAGGATAAGGGCAAGTTGGATTTCAAGGCTGGCTCCATATCTCCAACAGATGAGAAAATGGAGGGGTGATTATCCAGTTTTACACGGGATAACCCCAGGGATCGGGGACTTAGTCACCAAGGCTATGAGCCAGCTCCTAACCTGAAGCAGCTTGAGAAAAAAAACTAGTGCTTGAATCTATAGGGGGCTATAGTACCCGAGATATTAGGGATTATCATAATTTGTTGTTGAAATCATCGTTTACTATAGCCATCATTTTGTGATTTTTTCCAGTAGGTTTTTGACACTGCTCAATTGGGTTTACTTGAAGATGCTTGAAGATAATGGGCACCCCAAATCCAATGGTTGAGAACATTATTTCCCTTGCGATATTGCAATTGGGATCACCACCAATGGCACTTCAGGACGACATCCAGATGTAGTTATGAGAAAGATTGGATGATGCTTTAAGCCGGGGTTACTCACCGGTTGATCAATGCGAAGCCAAAAGCTTGCAGATTTGAGCAGATTCGAGCAGTATTACTGAACTGGGGTGCCAGATGAACAAAAAACGCATGGTGCATAGGCCTTTAACGGTCTGGAATCCTAGGATCTTGTGATTGTATCGTCGCATATGATTCACCATGGATATCCCCAGGAATCCCGAAAGGCCAAGCCTGCAAACATCAAATCACCAGAGAGATCCAGATAGTCAACCCATTAATGCTGGCTCAACCTATGAGCTGGTGCTTTGGATTGCTTGGATTGCTAGATTGAACTTTTGTGGGACTCTGGGACTGGGAAAGCTTGTGGTTAACCACTGGCTGAGCTTGGCTTTTTTCAACCATTGTTGAGATAGGAGATGAACCAACAAATCTGGTGAAATCACCAACAGAACATGGGCACTTTAACAACAGTAAGGGCGATCTCCTCAACCCAAAGCGGCTTTAACCGATCAAACATTTAGGCCAACTTACCAAAAAACAGGGTTGAACATGGAAAACAGGGAATAACATCTCGAAATCATGATGTTGGTTGATCATCAAAGCTGGCGTTGTACTGCCGGAGTTAATTGGGGACGTTCACAGCCCCAACTTGGAATTCCACCCCCATCGGCCAAAGCCCCAAAGTCCCAAAGGGCATTGAAGTTGTCCGCCGGGATTGGTGCCTCCTGGCTGCCGCCTCGAACGGGGAGACGAACAGATTTTGGTCTTGCGTCCATCGTTCTAGATCCAATCCTTGGAGTTCTCGAATTTTTGTTGGCTAAGCCATCCATTTTGTAGTGTGAACTGAATGTCGACCCATCCCCAAAATTTTGGGATGGCAAGGGTGCCCATTTCTATGAGGTTCGTCAGATGGTGGAGCACAGCCTGAATTTGCTGCTGCGGGAACGGTCCAAAGAGTTTGGAAGACCCGGAGCAGTGCCAGTCCCGCTGTTGATTGAGGTTGGACTAGGTATATCTGGGGTGATTTACTTTTTCTTTTTGTGACTTAGATTCCAACAATGGAGGTAGAGCCGCAGGAAGAGCATGCTTTTGGATGTTTTTGGGATTTCCACTTGGATCAGCCCTACCCTGCTTACCCTCTGGTAACATGGCAAGTTGGGAAATCCCCGAAATAGCCATAGGCGTGCTGTGGCATATGTCCGCGAGAGTGTGACGGCGCTGAGGCGATTCCGGGAATACCAGTGGCGTTTCAAGATGTGGCTGTGTTTGAAAATGGAAGATTTTACCATCAAAATGTCATTTTCTTTACAGAGAAAAGGAGGACACCACAGCAAAATTGGGGGCATCCTTTTTTAAAACAACGCCATGTTTCAGGTGCTGAGGAACTAAGAGACCAATGGAGATATTGTGGGCTTTGTGATACCCTATGCTTGACCCATACTTTTTTTTTCGGGAGCAACTGGTAGGTGTCCATCATCGTACAATGTATCTATCTTGGTCTCTTTGGGTATCCAATTTGGGAGAGACCGCATTTCCACTGGAAAATCCGGAATGGTCAAGATTCGCACTTCTGTGCCGTTGATTTGGACTAGCGAAACAGTATGTTGAGCTTGATGGGTAAGCCTCAGTTCACCCCAGGCTTCATGGGGAACCTCCAGAAATGTAGGTTTTTCGCTATATCTTCACCCATCCAACGGTAGATCCACCATAAATCCAACAGTCCGCGAAGTGAACTCCAACTTCCGAGGTCTGGGCGCGTCGACTTCAGGCTGTGCGTCTGATTCTAGATGTACCTATATCATTTCATGTATTTTTGCTATTCTTGTGGCTTACAGGCTTAATCCCTCATTTCTGATCACAGTATTCCTTCATTCTTGGGCCTACTTCAATTCGCAAATTCACACAAGTGTTGAATGCCTGCACCTGCAGCTGTCCGCAGGCTGTTGGTGATTTCAAAGGCTCTGGTGAGGGACGGTGCAGAGGCCAGACGGGGGGCTATATGTCGCATCAACTAGGTTTATTGCTTTGAGTACAGAACAGGGTCGTTGACTTCATCCCCAAAATTCCCCAAAATCATCAGTTGGTTCTGGTGTAATGAACTCAACTGTTGGCCAAAGTATCAAGGCCACATTTTGGTTACCATCGGGTCCAGGCCTATGCTGCGCGGCAAGCTCATGTGGAACTGGCTGCAGGGCGCTCAGGTCGAAGACGTCCTGGTTTTGTGACTGGGTTTACTCCCGCAAAGTGCCATGTTCATAAGGGAAATTTGGATGCTCAACAATCGAAATTGCGGTGATTTCAAATAAGTTTTTCACCTTGACCAGCGATTTGGAATGATATTCCGGAGGCCACCATTCAGAGTATATTTTCAGTTTCAACCTTGGGATGTTGCTCCCACATGGCGACTAAACCAGATGGGGATAGTATTTGGGGATAGGTCAACACTTATGGGACCTTGATTGGGAGATGAAGATCCATAACCACATCAGCTACATGTTGCTGTGAACAGAAGGTATGGGTTTGATTGAATAAACTGACAATTTTTGGCCATCGATTTCCTATTTTGTGTGTAGTACTGTACCCCTACGTGTCCTCCCCACTAACATTCTGCGTTCGCACATGATGAAAATATGGTGTTCGATATCAGCGGGCCATATCCAGACCTGTTTCGACTTGTGCGATTTAAAAAACATCTCTTTCTTGGGGTCCCCTGGGGTACTAAGTCAAACGTGGCTAGAACTTCCCCAATTTTTGACGGAAAAATCATCGACACAGAGGTATTTTTCGGGATTTGTCTATTGTTTTCTATGGTGGATTTTCCACGGTTGTCAGGTTAGATGACAGGGGAGGATGGGGAGGTATTGGGGGCTCATTGCCACATGTTGTTGCTGAATCTCCGCACGTACGTGGTTGGTTAATGCGGCAAACCCAATGATAGACATGAATAAACCATCCCAGTAGTTAGTGCCAACTATATATATAATATATAATATATATATATAATATAATATATATATAATATATAATATATATATAATATAATATATATATATATAATATATAATATATATATATATAATATAATATAATTGGGGGTCATTCTACATCATCCCAGATATAAGGGTATACAGGTATACCCAAAAATAACCTACCCTGCGTATGGTTTTATGAAAATTATCTCATGATGATCGCAGCATTCTCCCATGATTCTCTCATAATTATCCTTCAACTAGGGGTATATAATATAAAATATTCATATAATATAATAACATAAAATATAATATAATATAATATGATATATACATATAAGATATAGTAAATATATACATACATACACATGATATAAAATAAAATACCATAAAGATAATATACATATATATATATATATACACAACATATATATATATATACAATATATATATATACAATATATATATATATATATATACACAATATATATATACAATATATATATATACTATATATATACAATATATATATATATATACAATATATATATATACTATATATATACAATATATATATATATATACAATATATATATATATATTCATACATGCATGCATTCATGCATACATTTAACATTTAACATTTAACATTTAACATTTAACATTCATACAAACATACATTCATACATTCATACATGCATACATGCATACATGCATACATGCATGCATACATGCATACATGCATACATGCATACATGCATACATGCATACATGCATACATACATACAAACTAACATAACATAACATAACATAACAGAACATAACATAACATAACATACAATATGTATATATATGTATATATATATATCTATACATATATATGTATGTATACAACATATATATATTATTGTATATATATATACATGTATATATATATATTGTATTATTGTGTATATATATATTGTGTTTATTATAGACACTATATATATTGTGTTTATTATAGACACTATATATATATTGTGTTTATTATAGACACTATATATATATATTGTGTTTATTATAGACACTATATATATATTGTGTTTATTATAGACACTATATATATATTGTGTTTATTATAGACACTATATATATATTGTGTTTATTATAGACACTATATATATATATTGTGTTTATTATAGACACTATATATATATATTGTGTTTATTATAGACACTATATATATATTGTGTTTATTATAGACACTATATATATATTGTGTTTATTATAGACACTATATATATATTGTGTTTATTATAGACACTATATATATATTGTGTTTATTATAGACACTATATATATATTGTGTTTATTATAGACACTATATATATATATTGTGTTTATTATAGACACTATATATATATATATTGTGTTAATTATAGACACTATATATATATATATTGTGTTAATTATAGACACTATATATATATATATTGTGTTAATTATAGACACTATATATATATATTGTGTTTATTATAGACACTATATATATATATTGTGTTTATTATAGACACTATATATATATATATTGTGTTTATTATAGACACTCTATATATATATATATTGTGTTTATTATAGACACTATATATATATTGTGTTTATTATAGACCTATACATTATATATTAGTGGTTTATTCATAGACCCTATATATATCTTGTGTTTATTATAGCACTATTATATATATTTTGTTTATTATAGACACTATATATATATATATTGTGTTAATTAATAGACACTTTATATATATATATATGTGTTAATTATAACACTATATATATATAAGTTGTGTTAATTATAGCCACTATATATATTATTTGTGTTATTATAGACACTATAATATATATATATTTGTGTTATATTATAGACACTATATAGATATATTGTGTTTTTATTATGACACTATATATATATATTATTGTGTGGGGTATTATAGACACTCTATATATATATATATTGTTGTTTATTATAGACACTATATATATATTGTGTTTATTTAGACACTATATATATTATTTTGTTTATTTAACACTATAGAGATTATGGTGGTTTATTATAGACACTATATATATATATATTGTGTTTATTATAGACACTATATATATATATTGTGTTTATTATAGACACTATATATATATTGTGTTTATTATAGACACTGTATATATTTTGTGTTTATTATAGACACTATATATATATATTTTGTGTTTATTATAGACACTATATATATATATTGTGTTTATTATAGACACTATATATATATATTGTGTTTATTATAGACACTATATATATATATATATTGTGTTTATTATAGACACTATATATATATATTGTGTTTATTATAGACACTATATATATATATTGTGTTTATTATAGACACTATATATATTGTGTTTATTATAGACACTATATATATATATATTGTGTTTATTTTAGACACTATATATATATATATTGTGTTTATTATAGACACTATATATATATATTGTGTTTATTATAGACACTATATATATATTGTGTTTATTATAGACACTATATATATATATATTGTGTTTATTATAGACACTATATATATATATATATTGTGTTTATTATAGACACTATATATATATATTGTGTTTATTATAGACACTATATATATATATTGTGTTTATTATAGACACTATATATATATATATTGTGTTTATTATAGACACTATATATATATATATTGTGTTTATTATAGACACTATATATATATATATATTGTGTTTATTATAGACACTATATATATATTGTGTTTATTATAGACACTATATATATATATGTTTGTGTTTATTATATTAATAGACACTATAATTAATATTTGTTTATGATAGAACACATATATATATATTGTGTTTTTATTATAGACCCTATATCTATATAATTATTGGTGTTTCTTATAGACACTATAATATATCTTGTGTTGTATATAGACACGATATAATCTATTGTGTTGATTATAGACACTATATATCGGGTTGTGATTATAGACACTATAGTATATATATTTTTTTATTGTAAGACACGATAATATATATACTATTTGTGTTTATTCTGACCCTTATATATATTGTGTTTATTATAGACACTATATATATATTGTGTTTATTATAGACACTATATATATATTGTGTTTATTATAGACACTATATATATATTGTGTTTATTATAGACACTATATATATATTGTGTTTATTATAGACACTATATATATTGTGTCTATTATAGACACTATATATATATATATTGTGTTTATTATAGACACTATATATATATTGTGTTTATTATAGACACTATATATATATTGTGTTTATTATAGACACTATATATATATTGTGTTTATTATAGACACTATATATATAGTGTCTATAATAAACACAATATATATATATTGTGTCTATTATAGACACTATATATATATATATTGTGTTTATTATAGACACTATATATATATATATTGTGTTTATTATAGACACTATATATATATATTGTGTTTATTATAGACACTATATATATATATTATTGTATATATATACATGTATATATATATTGTATTATTGTGTATATATATATATCCAAAAATATCCATGATCACCCCCCGGGGATGGTGACTTTGTCGCAACGGGCTCTTTGTGTTGCTCATCTCAGGAGCGGATCAGACAACGTGACCCCACCAAAGCTCCAAAGGCCAGAGATTTGCCAATTTTTTGAATGAAAAAAACATGCGTCAAGCAAAATTGCTACCTGGGGATTCGGTTCTTTTGGAAGTGCAGGATTCATTTATAAAGGTGAGCATCACTATGGTGTGACCTCAGGATTCCAAATCGCCAACCCAAGCTAGCAGGTACTGCAGATAACCACAGGATGAGAGAAAACATGAAACTAATGCAACCATGGCACAACAACGGATGTATAGTTGGGGCTTGATTCGAGAATCATTGCTGTGATGGTTGGAATGATTTTCTTGCGGTTGCCCCAGCATACAGCAAGAGTATGCTCCATGTTCAACAGTCGCACATTGGATGATCACGGTGATGACACACAGTCCTTGCAGGCTGCTCTTGAGTCAAGAAGCAACAATGATTGCAGAACCATACTTGGTGGTTCACCGCACTCAGTAAGTTGGTTATATATAACCCCAACATACCCCAAGTATATGTGTGTATATATATATAGCTGGGCTAAACCTACTTACTCTACTTATAACCTCAACAACATGACGCCAGGGATCAACTGCTCTGAACTCAGGTGGGCGAGCGGGTGCCGTACGTTTTCGTGGCTCGAGCCGGAAACTCGTTCGTTTTTGATTCCAGAAAAACACTGTGGGCGTATTTGAAAATGAGGTATACCCCTAATTTATGGTCATTTCAAGAGGGAATATGATGATCACCCATGAAATTTTGGGGTAACCGATTTCCAGAAAAAAACATGTATATAGAGCCAGTTTTTTTGAAGATCCAAACCGAAGATCCAGACAGACGTGCATGTTTCAGTCGGTGTGAACCCACTAGGCGGAAGGGAACAACGATCTTTGAGATACATACATGTGTATATATATATACACATAATATCATAGTATGAATTTCAACAAAAATATAAGACTGGCAGGTTAAAGTGCAAATCCCTTCTCAACAAATTCTTCTTCTCAGAGTCCAAATTTGGGGTGCTGGTAGCCACTGGTAGCTACCAGGGCACTGGTGCAAATGCCTGCGACCGAGCGGAAGATCCCCTTCATGCACTGGAGGCTCAGTTTGAACCCCCAAATTTGCCGGGGTGATTGAAATAGAAATAGTACATTTGGGATCAACATCCGACCAGCTATGTTGATTTCACAACTGCCAAGAACTGGTTACATTAAACAACTTAAACAACTTAAACAGGCGAGCAACTTCTGGCAAGCGGCTCGGACCTGAAGTAGCTTACCCTCTGAAAATCAAACCTGGCAACGAAAAAACAAAACATCACATGGGAAAGTCATTTTTGAATTGCTACTTCATGGGGGGTTTTTCCAGTGCCGTTTTTTTTCCCGGGAACGTTTTTCTGTGCAAGGATTTTTGCCTGAAAAATCCTCGCAGCTGACAGCACCAAAATCCTGCCGGCGCGGCAACCCCTTTGCCCCGGCAGTACCGAACTGATTCCATGTCGCGCTGGGCCTTATGGACCTTCCTGGTGGCGCCCGTGGTGGCGATGTAACTTGGAAGCTGCTGGTAAGCTATGGATTATATAATATAATATAATATAATATAATATCAGATATATAATATAATATTCTAAATATTATATTATATATTATATATTATATATTATATATTATATATTATATATTATATATTATATATTATATATTATATACTATATATTATATATTATATATTATATATTATATATTATATATTATATATTGCATATTATATATTATATATTATATACTATATATTATATATTATATATTATATATTATATATTATATATTATATATTATAATTTAATATATTTATATGTATACTATTATATATTATTATCTTAATCTCTATCTTACATCTTCTCTCTTCTCTTCTCTCTTCTCTTCTCTCTTCTCTTCTCTCTTCCCTTCTCTTCTCTCTTCTCTCTTCTCTTCTCTCTTCTCTTCTCTCTTCTCTTCTCTCTTCTCTCCTCTCTTCTCTCCTCTCTTCTCTCCTCTTCTCTCTTCTCCTCTCCTCTCCTCTCTCTTATCGTCTCTCTTCTCTTCTCTCTTCTCTTCTCTCTTCTCTTCTCTCTTCTCTTCTCTCTTCTCTTCTCTCTTCTCTACTCTCTTCTCTCTTCTCTTCTCTCTTCTCTTCTCTCTTCTCTTCTCTCTTCTCTTCTCTCTTCTCTTCTCTCTTCTCTTCTCTCTTCTCTTCTCTCTTCTCTTATCTCTTCTCTTTTCTCTTCTCTTCTCTCTTCTCTTCTCTCTTCTCTTCTCTCTTCTCTTCTCTCTTCTCTTCTCTCTTCTCTTCTCTCTTCTCTTCTCTCTTCTCTTTTTTTTTCTTTTCTCTC